AGTAAATCTAATATCAGGAAATGTATATTGAATCATATGGATTCATAGGAACAAGACCATTTACTCATCATGTAAGCGATTTTTTTTTAAATATTAAAATATTAATTTGTAGATCACGTTCAGAATTATTGTTATAATTGTGTAATCAATTAAATGATGTCATACGAACGAGACTTAATTCATCATTTTATCACGATCTACTCTGCAACACAGAAAAAAAATCCGTTAAAAATTATAATCGTCGATCAGAAAATGTACATTGATTCACATCGATTCATAGGAACAAGACCATTTATTCATCATGTTAACGGTTTAGTTTAGCGGATCATAAAAAATATTGTTGCTATTAGTTTAATAATAATATTTATTTATATAATAATAACTATTTTGTAGAGATAAATTGTAAATACAAAATTCCAATAAAAATTTTTTTAAAAAACTATTAAAATACACACGAATATTTTATACCAAGACGAACATTAACTTGAAAACTGTTAAAGGTAAAATAATCAAGTACCTACAGCCATATTCAGATAAGTATTAAAATTGTAATCAAAACAATTATCATACGAACGAGACAAAAATCATCATGATATATAACATACAAATAAACTGTTTATTAAAACATAGTAGGTACTTAAAAATATCATATTAAATAAAGTAAATTGTATTTAAAGCCTTATATCGATACGATAACATTTAAAACAAATTAAGTGGGCAATATTCAGAGTTTGTTTAAATGATAATCAACTAAAAGTTCATACGAACGAGACAATACTCATCATTATTTAACCACATATTAAGTAAAATATTTAATTTACTTTGATAAAATAAGTTATTAGACACTTAATAATAGTGCACTGAAAATCACTAAATGAAAAAAATGATTAAAATATTAGTTTCATTACATTTCGTATTAAATTTAACTCTAAGAATTACATCGTTTTATTGTCAGGTAGAATTATTATCTAATCATATGTATATTACTACTCTTTCTACAATAAAAATTCACTTTAACACAAATATTTAACGATTACAAAAAATATAACGATAAAATAAAAAAGTATTTACAACAGTATTCAGATAAGTATTATAACTGTAATCAAAACAATATCATACGAACGAGACTAATATCATCATGATTTATAATAAACGGTTTATTAACACATCCTTAGGTACTTAATCTTAACATGTCTGGTTATGGAAATGGTCATGTTAGGAAAAACTAAGATTACCGGATAATAATTGAGCTCGGTTACTACGAAAAGCTAGTAATTAAACGACATGGTTGCAATTTTTGGCACCAAGGAAGCGTATCATGGATTCTTGCCATAACTATATTTACATTTCACGAATAATGTTTAGATACCAAAATATAATTTTGTGTTGGTTAAAACAATTTTTTTCTTTTATAACAACAGAAGTTATTTACAAAATCGACGGTATGAGATTATATGTGCAACGAAATGCAAATATACATGTTAATTACGCTGACTGGATAAAATCGACACGTCTATAAATCCTAATCGCATATAGAACAAAAAATAATAACGACATGCGCTATTTTGATCTAAAATTCTCATTAAAAATTACCAAGAACTTCCTGTTTATAGTACTATTTTTGATACGCAAATTGGAAAATTTAGAAATGACATTTAGTTCCAATGACAGACAAAATAAATATCTGTTGGTTATTTTACAGCGATGGCACTGTTCACTAACTATATAAAATTATTTTTCAACAATATTAAAGATAGTCTATTAACAACAATCACACATCATTATTTCATTATTACTATTAATATACCCAGTCAGCAGATATTCAGGTATACTACTACCGCTTTCCTGTTGTTTTTTTTTCACTGTAAATACTCATTAGTCATTACTATTACAATTAATGATATCGAAGGACTTCTGATGCCCTATGTATTCCCACTGATCAGACAAGACCGACTCGTGTAAATTGGTTTTTAAACTAAATAATGTTTCCGCTAGCGTCCACGCCTATTAAAGTTCGTACTGCTCGCGTTTTAAAAAACGATTAATTATTCGATTTTTACTGCTGTATAAACAATTGCAATTGATATATACTACAAATGTATAGTGTACAATCTACGTGCAATTGTTACACGTTAAAATAGTGTAAAAATCGTTACTAACGTTAACGATTGTTAAAAACGGCATAGAAGAAGTTAAGTAGATTTTGTTGGCTGTATAATAATAATACTAATAGTAATAAGTATAACACCATAAATGTTAAACGTGTTAAATCGACGAGGGCAAAACGGAACGTGTGTATATATGTTTAGAGGGTCGAATGACGAGGGGGATTTATGGTAAAGTTTGCCGCCGGTATCGCGTACAGACATTTAAACTGCTTTTTGCCCGCCCCGGCAAAACTTGTCACACTTAGTAGTTAGTCGCCGTCCCAGCTAACTGCTCGAGTAAGTGTTTATTATTGAGGGGCGATAACATACAACCGCCTTTCCACGCAAAGCGTTTTGTAAAAAAAAAAACACGTTATAAAGTTTTAAAATTATTACCGATATCGCCCAAACATCATTGAATGAACACGTCATTACTCATTACTCACAATACAGTTTTTTTACGTGCCCGAATGGGCTAGACAACCACAAGAGCATAGATTATTAAAAAATGCAATATAATGTAATATTGGTACCACAAATAAAATTATGAACGGCGATTGAAATCTAGAGTAGTTGTAAAAAAAAAAGCATAAATCTCACGAGAACGGGAAACGGTCGTTTAAGCATGGTGCCAACGATAAAGAAACACATCGACGTCGACACGGTCAGTAAAAATCAAAGTAGACCATTCCGACGATTACATACAAAATAATAATAAAAAGAGATGTTTCGTATTATAAGTATATTACACAAATAATTGTTTTATCTGTTTTAGCGTGTGAGAAACAGACGTCTCATCAATCAATAGTTATAGCACTACCATAAGGTTTTCTTTAAAAAACAACAAGTATCTTATCCCAAGGTTAAAACGAAAACGAAGGCGATGACCGCGTAATTCATACTTTATATCATTTAATTATCGTATTTTGCTATTAATTTTCGCGTTTTTTCATATTTTCATCCAGTTGTTTACAAAATGGTAATACCATATGTCTCTATGCAAATATACATATTATTATACAGCGATGTCTACTAGTATCCGTACAAAATAATATTATACATATATCGTATACACACACACACACACACATAGGTGCGCAGCACACAATATATTACAATTGTTATTACACGCGTATGCACGCAGAAACGCGATAAGAACTATTATTACCGTCGACCTCCTCGGAGAGCGCGAGGCTAAAAAAAAATTACTTCGATTGCGTTTACGGGGAATCCGCGGTATTTGTACGACGTTGCCAACAGACACACACATCGTGAACTGGCAATAAACATACGCATACACTACACATAAATATATGTATACACACACACACACACTCGAGTATAAATCCAAGGCCCTCGTAGACACTGTGGTGTGCGAGCGTCCGGTAAATGCATAAATGGAAAATAGACACTTAGTGGCGGCGGGGTCAGTGCGAGGGGAATGTGTGCTTGACGTGCAAAGATAATCGATTGGACACATATTAAGCTGACAGTGGCACATATTATTATGCTTTTATCCCTTTACTGGCAGCGAACTGCCCAAAGTCGATATTAAGAGAGCGATGATATTAATGTGAAGCTGTTAGAGCGGTATATTAAACGAGAAAAGAAAACGATTTAAGATGAAACGTGATAAGTTCAAAACTACGAATTTAATAAGTTGGTTGAAATTAAATACATACTATAAAAAAATGCCTTGATTTTGTCACTAACGAATAACGAGGAATGTACTTGGTAAAAAATATTATATGTTTTCTATAAATTACAAAGTAAAATGTTAATTTATAATTTTTTATTTCTTGAAGGCATTCTATGGTATTAAGTATATTAAATGCAAAATATCACGATTACACAGCTCTGCACAGCGTAAAATATTCGACATTTCAAACGATATAAATTTAACTGAAGACCGTAACAACCATAACAAAAATGAATAATCGATAGTTGTTCGTATTAAATCGTCCAAGACCTCCTACTGCCTGACACGTGAATATTTATATTGTATATAATTAAATGGCACACAAAATAAAGACTCTTCTTGCTAGTGTAACGAATGAAACAAATGTCTCATTTTTTTTTAGTTTAGGCCCACGGACTGTCTGTCACTTGTTTTGATTGAATCTTTAAAAACGCACATGCCTATTTTAAATTCAAACAAAAAAAATATTACTACTTATTAGTAATTTAAAACATTTTTTCGTGTTAAATAATTAAAACATGTCTAAATTATGTTTATCAAGATATCTGTTTTGAAACTTATAATTGAGTAATTATACCTAACTTCCTTTAAAAATGAATAGTATTTTTAGCGTATTCGTTTGTATGAAAATTCAGCAGAAAACATTTTTTTTAACAATAAATGATTAAAACAAACAAAAAACAAGTTTTGAAGTTAAAAAAATGATCATAAGTCTTTTTTATATTATGGTAAACACAATACATAGTATTTTAATCTCATGCCAGAATTATTTTAAACCCGTTTTCTAAATAGAATCTTTAACCGTTTGGGGATAATTTGAACATTCTAACATTTAGTTCCAAAACAATTTAAGGACTCTTTTAACAAGAATTTGTTTAAAACTACAAGTTAGTTTAAACTTTAACAAATTCGCTTAAAATTATCTCTTAATAAATCCCCCAATTATTTGCAGTAATATAAATTATAATATATTAAAGTTAAAATATTCTGGGTATTCATTTAGATTTTAGATAATTTACATACGTTGTAAATACTTATCGAGTAATTATTATCTTATTAGACATCACTACATATTATGGCGCGACTTTCAATTAAGACTACATATTAAAATCCGTTATGAAAATATTTATATATATAACTATGATTTGACTTACAAATAAAACTTCTTCCGGATGGCCAATAACCTCAACCGGTAATGTCTACGTGTTGACGAAACTAAGCTTATGTTGGCGGGTCCGAGAGCCACTGAAAAATAAAAAAACAAATCTTACTAACTGTGTATGTTATTATAAGTAGGTATACAGTACAAATATATAATTAATTACAATTTAATGTATACTTTACATTGTATGCACGTCATATTATTTGTTTGTATTAAAAAAATGATAAATATTAAATATTAAAATATTGTTATAAAATACTTGAAAATTCGTTTAGAAAAGCATAGTAATAGGAATTCCTGGACTGTGAACAAAACGTAAACGTAGGCATATAATAAATACTAGAAACAGCCCCGCGTACTGGACATCTTATGCATAACGTAGGGAACGCACCAAAACGAGTTTAGCGGTAGATTACATACACGCAGCTTGCGACGTTACGTAACTGCTAGGTGGTTATACCGTTAACTCACACACTCTCAGACCTCAATCCTCAAGTACAAACATTATTGAAAATCAACAAAAACCGCCCTACTGTCCAAGCCGGGACCTTAACACTGATAATAATTAACCCGGGAAAAGCACAATTATCAGAAGTATACTAGGCGGCCATCTTTTACAATTTATTACTGCACGTGTTATTTTCTTACCGGTAAATAATTTATCATGTATACGCAACTTGGGCATCTGGTTGAAAAACAGCTATAAGCACGAATTTTAGTTGTTTTTTTTTATATAAACCGTACAAACGGTAAAACATACAAAATATTTAAACCTATAACAGGCCACCAGTAACTGATTGAAACCATGTAGAAAAAATATTAGTTGGTTACGAAATCAACAAATATTATCTTTCAAATGTAACCCCTTATGTAATTTGAGATTAATCGAGATATCGATCAAAGAAGTCTTACTTAAACAAAAGGACCTGTTAGTTTTTAGGATAATAATTTTCTTCTTTAATGATAAAAAATTACCGTTTTAAAAGTACTACGGGGGTTTGTATCAAATGTATATCAATTTTTCGTTCAAGCTTTAAAATTAAATGACACCTACTAGTAATGTCAAATATTAATAATAATCATTAATTTGTCTAAGTTAAAAACGCCGTTAAATGACAACCATGGAGAAATTTACATATGATTTCAATGGATCCCAGTGGTCGTTAGCGCACTAAATTTCAATGTATTGAAATAAAGACTTAACCTGTCCGATTGTAAAAAACGTGTTGGTCGGTAACAATTCAATAGTTGCTACACTAATATTTCGTATTTATTTTTTGTGCAAAACGCCTACATGGTTAGGCTCAGTTGAATATGACTTCCAGACATCCGTTTTGTAAAATAGAAAGTTACAGCTGTTAAAAAATTATATATATGTGACTTCTTTGTACTTTATAATAACAATACTATAATATAATGTGTATTAAATTGTATTACACGAAAAAACATTGTTTTTTTTCTGCAAAACGTTTCTTCGATTGCATTTTTTCAACATAAGCGGGTTATTATTTATGTAGACTAGTTCAAAGAAAACTGATCAAATAGTCGATGAAACTAAAATATTAAGTATTTATTTATAATAATATTATAATCATATTACAATGACGTTTCTCAGTTTATAGCCTTTTCTCAACTTTTACATAGAAAGAGTTTTAAACGGTTTGAACTTTAATGCAGGGCTGAAAAAGTATTGTTTTTACAACGATATATTTCTATTTCTGTTGGAGCCAAGATATATCCTAATCCACAGAACCGATTTCTTCATGTACCATGTTAATGGATTATAAATCGTACCAGATAGATACTTTATGAAGCCGATAATTTTAAAAATTCATCCTTTCATTTTAAAATCAAAAATCCCAAGAAGTTTAAATCATTTTTAACTAAAATTTACGAACTTTTTAAAAAAATTAGTTCCAAATTTATATAGAAAATTTTTTAAACAGAGTATAATATTTATATTTCTTTCTAACAATAAACTTTGACAAACCAAACAAATATCAAAAACCCTCTTTCCTTTATTTCGCTTTCTTTATAGTAGTTTTAAGGATGAAGGTCTGAAAATTAGACTAAAGATAAACTAGTCTGGGACTTTAACATAAACAATTTTCTTAAAATTATGTTATCAAACTTTTTTATTTTATTAAGGAAACGTGGGGCCCCTCCCAGAAAATGGGTAAATTACACATTGACCAATTGCTATGTTGCTATGCAAGAGCAAATCAAGTCATCAGCCACAGATATCTAAACAACTGCAACAAAATATGATTTAAGACAAGACGATTAACTCTAATCTTGTTCACCATAACAACTGTTAGATGACTATTTGGCGTAAGCGACCATTTTCTTGATTTTTCAAATATCTAATAAAAAAAACGAGGTTTTCATTATCATTTTATAATTATAATACATGGCGGCGGATTTCACAGTAATCAGTTTATGGCCTGTTGCAGGTATTATTTGTGCGGCGGATAAGAACAAAACTCAATTAGTTGTTATTGTTCTCTACGCATTTTGTAAAATAAACAACTAGGCAGCTCTTAGCTGCTGGTCGCTCCTTCCTCATTATTATTTACCACTATGTATACAAGCAATATATATATATATATATAGATGTAAATATTTACTTATTATATAGTATATAGTAATCGAGATCAATTTAGTTACACAATAAATTATTACCGACCTTTCACCGATAACTCACACTATAACGATAGATATTATTTTTATTTTGCATAAGTAACATATCTTCAATATTTAGAATACACTGCAATTTACAAGTCTTTCAAATTAGCATTAGTTTGTTTAACCAAACATCTTTAATCATTTTAACATAAATACAATATATTTCTCTTTGATAAATTAGATCTCGAAGAGCGTACAACACTGTCGCCATTTTTATAAATAGGTATTTATATTTAGAAACCCATATATAGAACTAATTATTATATATACTCTATTCAGATAAGAGTCACCCCTTAATTTATCAATAATAATTGTTTGTTAACTATACTTTTATTTCTTCTGTCAATTCAGAATCGATATTCAACGGTTGAAAACTACGCTCATGACAGCAACGATTTTGTAGGAAATAGTTAACTGTTTGTGGGGCAAGAAATGTCACTTAAAACTTGACACCTAAGGGATAAGCTAAAAATCATAATCAAACCATACAAGTGAGGAATCAAAATATTAAGTAATCGCATGCTCTAATGGTGATTTAGTTGACTATTTTTATGTGATCATCATTTGTAACCAACGAAATAAAAATGTATAAAGTGGTTATATGAGTTAATCACCGCCCTACAGGGACATAACAAAAATGTAGAAATTATTATAGTAACCACTGCCCCTCAGTATTGAAAACCATTATATTTTACCAGTCAACACCTGCTGAAGTATTTCCAGTCAAGAGTATTATCGACAGAGCATTACTGAAAACTAGTTTTTTGTTAGTTACAAAATAAAAAAGCATCTATGTATAAGCGATTCAATATAATATGGTATATAGGTATAAAGGTATGATTGTTGTTAATCATTAACTCCTCTATTTCTGGATCATCATTCTTTATAACGTTCAAATCGTTATTGATAAAAAAAAAATATTTTCTGCTTCAACGGCCGGAGTAAGTGGAGGGTTGTTATGTATAATATTATGTCAGCAGTTAACTGCTGATTTGACAGTATTGGTGACGCGATTTTTTCGACTTCCTCCAAGGCCCGAGGGATATTGTATCACGTCCGGGAAAGACCAAAAAGGGGGCGGGAAAGATGTTGTCGAGGGATTTTTTTGCTGAATTGACGCGTTTCGGATTAGACCCCATTATACTCGAGCGAGAAATAAAAACAATTTTATTACCCGTCATAAAAACCGTTATCGAATCGTCAGCACAGTAGTAGTAAGAACATACACATAGGATGTTACAATATACAGTACAATAGGACAAATTTGCAAATTTTAAATTGCCAGATAATAAAGTACGCATGAGATAAAGGAAAAAAATGCCAGCATAACATTTTCTTGAACTATCAATGTTTCTCTGCGAGTAATGCGTAATATAATAATTGTAGTTATAGTTAATTAAAACTGAATTCAAACTTTCTTATCGTTTGTAAAAGTCAATTTTTGATCATTTATAAAAGCATAACTAGATTTTACATTTCATAAGTTCTATTCGCAAGTATATTGAATTCTGTTATTTTTAATTAATGTAACAATATTAGAATTACTGTTCATTGAAACATCACAAGGATTATGAGGAACTATTTTTAAATTTAGTGACGAATACAATGTGGCATAAGCGTCAGACAAATTTAAAAGAATAGATATTGAAAAATTAATTTTATAAAATAAAATAAAATTCCAGCTCCAAAGCTTAATATAGTTAAAAACAGAAGCAGGAATTTGTGTTACTATTATAAAATCAAATGCATTATATATAATTCTTTAAATATACAGCCCATATAAAAAAAAACTGTGATGTTAATTACTATACAGCTTTATAATAATAAGTGGTCTATCCATAAAATATTTTCTATGGTAAAAGTTTATGAGACATAATACGTTTACACCATATTACATCATATAATGAGGGCTCGGTAACGCAGAATATATGCGTAATGTAAACAAGACCTTTAAATATACCTTTCTGGCGTTATTTATCGATTATCTCCTTCTCCTATAATATAATTATATTTATGCAGCTTTTATCCGACTCACTGATGACATAGTAAGACGACGTTTCATATTATTTCCACTCGTGCCATCAATTGTATTAACGAAACACGCTCTCAAACCCAGTCATTACTCTCCGCCAATGTCACAATATTTGTTTTTACTAGCTACACTGGCTTATATCCCGAGATAAAACAAAAAAGTTGACACACAATACAGGTGTATCAAATGATTGTTTTCTTGTATTAAATAGTTTTTGTAGGGTGTAGTTAAATAGTATTGCTAATGGGGTGAGTGCATGCCAGTCATACATGGATTGAAAAAGTTACCAAGCTAAAATTTACCTGACTTTTATTTTTTTATAAGTTCCAATCTAAATAAGCTACCAGAATATTATACAGTTCATACTATTAATAATTTGAACCAATATTTGTAGTTATAACAAGTAATGTAAATTTTGGCTTGGCAACGTTTTCAATTCCTGCATTCATAGTCAAGTATTAGGAACTCTACAAATTATTTTTTGTTTAATAAATCAATCATTATTATTCCATAAAAAAATGTTTTCAAATAAAATATCATTTTTTTATTTTAATTAATACGCGCATAAATAAAAACAAGTTTTTCAACATGTGTTACCAATTTTTACAACATTTTGGTCCTTGAAACAACAGCTGGTGGGTTACCAATATTAGATGACTGTTTTTCTTAAATATAATGAAGATAATTTTACTTGATTTAAAAATATCCAACCTTTTTTTAAAATTATTATTAAGCACAGAAAGCTAATAACTAATTTAAGTATATACAAAGATGGGCATATTTGTATTTGTGAATACGAATACGAATATTATTATTCACAGGACCCTCATCTGCGAATACGAATACATCCGTATTTGCAGGTACAAGCACATACGAATACGAATATATTCGTATTCGTAGCCAAAAAATGCGAATACAAATGTATTTGTATCATTTGGCCGTGAAAACAAATGTATTCGTATGTGCTCACTGCTCGTACCTGCAAATACGAATGTATTAAACATTACAGGAATACAAAGTTTGTATTCGTATTCGCAGACGAGGGTTCTACAAATATATTCTTATTTACGAATACAAATATGCCCATCCCCGAGTATATATATTTATATATATATATCGATGAATGTTGAGTAAGTAATACTTTTAACTAGTTAGTCAATTATTGTATTCGGAGATCATGTGCTATAATTGGTAGGAAATATTCTCTACTAATAAATTATAATAATAATAACATAATTTATCATTAACAGTTTTCGATTGAATGGACACTACGCCAACCGAATTTATTTATACGTGTCCAAACGTTAGTAAATAGAAATAGGCACGTGACATCTAGTTCTTGTTGATTATCAATAAATAAGCTATTGTTATTTATTGCCACTGAAATGGAGCTACAGAGAAATATTATTACCAAGTTTCGTAGTTCTCAATAATAATATAATTAATGTACCATTTATTCGTGTGGAATAAAAAAACAGGAGTATGATTCGTTAAAAATAAGTGGTTTATCTTCGCTTTCGCCGACGACCGTGAAGATAACGTGAAATAATAATAAAATAAAAAATAAAAATTTTCCAACACCAGACGGTTTGCACGCACTTTTTAACGTTAAATAATATTAATAAAAATAGCACAACAGCATACCACAGGCCGCCCTCTCCCACCGCGAGCACATCCTCACCACCGGTACGGCAGAACCGTGTCCGACGCATTCAATATTCATACCGGCACGCACAACCGGTTTGCTGAGCACATTTATAATTTATAAATATAACATTCACTATTTCTTTCTCTCCGGTTTAGGGTCAACAAGCGCACCGAGACCTTATTTCCACTGCTCATTATCAAACCTCTGGATCACCACCACTGGGAGTAGTTCATAAAGTAAATGTATACTAATATCATCGAGTATAACAATATATTATGCAGTGTATACAATACATACTCAATGATATGTACATCACCTATCATATTATTATTGACGGCCGCCATTGTGATAAGCCGACGGTTAAACGTTAGCGGTTAATTACCGACTTATTATAAAACATGTCACAATTTCTTATAATAATTCTAAATTTTTTTTATAATTATTGCATTTCGTGTAAACCCTACTTGGACAGAAAATATAAAAATACTACAGTTGAAAACTTGGTGCTTGTGTCGAACACGACGAGACGTTTATGTGATTATACATATATATTGTAACGGCTTGATTACTTTTGATTTCACAATGGAACACAAATCGGTTCCGGCTGGTGGTAGTGGTATAATCATTTTTTTCTATTTAAACCCAACACAAAATTTCTACAAGACGAAGACAAAAGTGCACTAATGAATTATAATAACTATAGTTCTCGGCAAACGTCCACTTTGATTAAATAAAATACTGATTTCAAAGCGAGAACTATGCTTTTGCAGTCTGCTAATTGCAGTACTCGGTAGTAGTAGTTGCAATACGTTTAATGTAAATAGCAAGGACGGCCAACAATTTTTGTCGGCCCCGTATATCATTATATCGATAGTCAGAATCATCATACTAGGTATGTCTTATGTGTGGACAGACATTTTTGAAGGACTTGGTCGAGTGCCGCTCTTGATCCCAATACTTTTAATGGTCTGGTCAACGCTAAAAATGTTTTTTTTTTCTAATAGCAATGTACTGTGATCAGTCAAATTGTTGCAAGTGGACCAAGGAGCGGACGGATTGACTGTCGGGTCTACGTTTGAAAAGGCCCAACACCAATACAAAATAGACTCGATAGCGTAGTTGGGTAAAAGTTTGAGAGGTATACGCATGTCGAGGACACTAAAATACGATAGTGGAAATGGTTATAGCTATTAAAAAAAAATTTTTAACATTAACAAATAAGTTTGCAATCTTTAAAATGCTCTTCCAGAAAAGTTTTTAAATACTCACTTAACTAGGGTTTTTTTATGTATTTCTTAAACCCATAAAACAACTAATTATCCAATAAGTGATGTATAACATCACGTGACATTATTTTATGTCATTTTTAATGCCGAATTTCAAAGAAAAAAAAACAGTTAAAGTTGTCTGAAAACAAATTAACGACCACTCACATTAATACAACACCATCGGTACATCTTATTGTTTGTAATAGTTAATTATTTATTATAAACACGAGTATTTCAGGTTGGCGTTTAAAGGTTAAACCATATTTGTATTAGCTGAAAATAATTCGAATACTAATACGTACTAATCAAGCAGTCTTTCAAACAATACAGTTGGCATTTCTTTAAAAAAATAACACAACAAAATTCCTGATAAATAACATTTAATGAAAATACTTTAGACCATTTAGATTACAGTAAAAACAATATAATATAACACAATGTTTTTGTCTCACCGTTTAACTTGCATAACATTTAACGTTTAATCAGTCTCTAGCGTTTTAGTCTTTAACAAATCTATAATAAATAGAAAATAACATAATAATATATAAATATGCTTAATAAACATCCTGCACGATACTTTACTGAGGAATAGATAAAAATAAAAAAACAATAAAAACGTAGTTCACTTATTTGGTTGAGCTCATTGAGTGTCTCACGCAATATGGAAATAATAAATAACAATATTATAATATATTAAAACTGGAAAACAAAATTTAAAAAATTGTCCTTTTATACCTAGCGAGTAATACTGAATAGTAGTAACATAAATAAAAAAAATCATCTTGATATATCATATAATAAAAAAAAACAATTGTTGGTTAATTACTGTCCTAACAATTTAATTAAAAAAAACATAATCGGTCAGTCTTGAGGTTACACCGTATCAGTCTTTGCTGTTAAGATGCGACGCTGGATGATCACTGGTAGAAGCGTCGTACTCCTGCGGCCAAGGTTGATGATGATACGCACGATTGAAATCCATGGTCGAGGCGGTAACGCTTTCATTGCTATTGTCACATTGCTCACACTTGCACGTGGTGCCGGCCGTTTGGTGTTCGGTAACACAATACCAAGACGGCGACAATTGTTGAAAATGTGGCGGTGGTGGTGGTGGCGGCAACCCTTCCACGAAATTAACAAACTGGAAGTTGGGCGGCGACACTATATGGCGGTTTATGTTACCCGCCAGCGGCGGCTGCTCGACCAGCACGAATCTTTCTTTGAACGGCGGCAGTGCCGGCGGAGGAGTGGGCATGTACCAAGGATGTTGTACCATATTGCCGCAGGAAGAATTCAGTGTAGTCAAGGGCAAAGCAGGCATTTGCGGTAGCGGCGGCGGAGGATAATGTCTAACATAATAATTGGGCGGCGGATGTACAGCGTGTCCGGAAAGTTGTGTCGGCATTGTGCACATTTCGGGTGTTGTTTGCTGGCGGCGAGGGCGCGGAGTGTCCCTACGGTGATATTCGGCCGAAACGTCGACGCGGTGCGACAACTCCTGTTTTTCGTCACTATGGCCGGTCGCCTTGCCGGGTTCGTCCGGTGTGGACGATGACACTTGACCCACCTGGACGGGAGGGCTTCCACCATCGGCCGTCAGGTCGCGGACGTCCTGTTCGACGGGCATCAGCCGCAACTGATCGAATTCCACATCGATTTTCCGTGCCAGATCTTTAACGTACACCTCGACGGGTTCATTTTTTTCACGGATTCGTTGAATGTAACAGTCGTACTCGTGGTCATCGATACTCACCAAACACTTACTGCCCTCCTTGAACTCCCAGTTGTTCCATCGACCGTAGAACTTTTCTTTTTTGCTATTCAGCCATATGTCGTACTCAGTGTTTCGGTACAGTTTGGGCGTTAGCGCCTTGGCCACTTTGAACGGGAACGGCGTGATACCGATTTCCAACAACTCCTTCATGTCCGTGCAAGTAGCTCGTTTCTCCAAACTGAGCCGGTCGTTGGACCGGGACGACGGCAAGTTGCGTTCGAACAACATTTCCTTGACCGCGAAATCAACTCCGGCCAACATGAACACGTTTTTGTAGAGCATTTCGTAGACGACCGCCTGGCAGAATGATATGTTCTCCACCGACTCTTTGACTAATACCAAGTCGTACGTGCCTTCGTAGTTCAAGCATATGTTCAACGTTTTGACAGCGTCGGGGATATCGACGACCAGCGGTATGAACGGATGAGCGTCCACATAGAACGTAATGTTTATGCGATAGACTTTAGCAGCAACACGCATGTCCAACAGCTCACCGTCCAGTTTCGTGTCGGTGATTTTCTTGGCGTACATGGCGGCCGGCAGTTGGGTCATCTTGCCAAACTCTATGGCCTGGAGCCTGGAAAATTCTAACAGATGTTGCCTGACCACCATATGACAGCTTTGCGTAAGGAACACGCACTGCGAGATACACCGGAATAGGCTGTTGCCGTCCCTGGGCACCACGTGTCTCATGAGTCCGATACGTTCCAATTGTTCGTCAATTTTGGGCGTCGGCGCCCGTTTAGATTTACTCCTGTTCCTTACCGACAGCGTCAACATTATGTTTTCACCGAATATTCCTGAAAATACACAAAAAGTTTTCTTTATAAAAAAAAAAGAAAAAAACAAACGATAAATATTAAACGCACTAAAAATTACACTCTGCTCGTCGGACGTCTCCCGTGATTATAAACAAAGATTCCGTCTAACCGTGCGTTTAATATGACAAATGTTTTTTTTCTTTTTTTCTTTTTAAACTTTTTGTGTATTTTTTCCGTACAACAAACAATTTATGTTGGGTACCATAAAAACGTGAGACCCGATTTTTTAATAAGCTTTTTTTAATAATTTTTAGTGCGTTATTTAAATTAAAGCCATCGCCCGTCATTTAACGACGGCCAAAGAAAAAGCATAAAGCATAACATAATACTACATTGCATTTAGAAAACGCTGTTATTATCACTTAATGAATGCATCCAATCAAACAACACGAATGTCTACTGCGGTATATAATAATAGACGGTATTCTTTTAATGCATACGTACTTTACACGACGGCCAGCAGGTAACCTAACCTAACTCATTAGGTTATAAATAATACATTAAGGTAGAACGTAGCAGAGATAATTACTCCGCTTTATTACGACCCAGTAACATGGAAATAGTATTTTAATCCAGTTTTATTGGCGGATTCCTTCTGATCGGTTAGAAGTAATATTTCAAAGCAATGCATTTTTAAAATTATTAATAAAATTATCTAGTACCCAAGCAAAATGGAAGAAATTATGATATAACGAAAAACTTAATTCTCAGTGAGGTTTCGACCAGTGCAGTAGACAGGAAAGGGCAAAGAAATCGCTTGCTCCCCCCCCCCACCTCTTCATAAAAAATCAATATTTTGTTATACATAACAAAAAATAAAATTTTAATAAGCTGGTAATATGATATTTATTATGAAATCGTTATTCCATATTTTCATAAACGGCCACACTGTAATACTTTTATCATTTATTAATTATCATTATCAAAACTAAAACTATAAAAGATTGTTTTATGATGTTTACTAAAACAGATTTTTGTTTAAGTTGTTAATTTCTCTAAGATTAATAAATATAAAACAAATTTGTGTGTGCCTATTTAATAATAATATACATAATTATAGATCATTAGTATGGACAATTATATCATATTTCCTCCCCAGCGAAAATTCCTAGCTACGCCACTGGTGTCAACGATATAAGAAGTACCGTTTAAAAACAATAACCGGACTATATTTAACACACTCACTGAGTTCAGTTTATTGATACGCTTCAAAAGTCATACCTTTATGGGTTTAACAATTATACGAGTAGAAAACTTGTATTAGCAAAAACTTATACAAAAAGACAAAACTAAAATATTATGATTTAGATCGACCATTACCGAACCTAATACATTACCGATAGTTGTACTCGAATTTCCGTTTAATTCAATTTCAAAGAAAAATTACAATGTCATAACTCATAGTAATGTATTTCTTTACCGAGCGGTTCCCTATCAGCTGTTATCACTACTTAATTACATACGTGAATTCCGAAAATAGATTTTGTTTAAAATTCATGTAGATGCGATGACGGCGTGTTGCACTTGTAAGTAATGACTGTGATAAGAAAACTACTTATATTATGGGACTTTTTGCCAATTAAAATCCGAAAAAAGTACTTGTGCATGGTAATGAGAACGATACAGGAGTACAATATATTACATGACTAAATATTTATTGGGAAAAACAATTAAAACCCCGGATAATTTGTCTAATTTGCTAAAGAAATTAGTCCATACGACGAAATAGAACATGACACAAACTTATAGGAAAACACTTATTTTTATATTATAATATAAAAAATTTGCTTGATGAATAAAACTAGAAGATATATTGCGGAACACTAATAAAGTTCTTGTGTAGCTTCGTTAGATTTTTCATTAATATTTAGTTTGTCAATCGATTAAAATAATTTGAAAAAAATGTAATTAGTAATATTTGTTGTTTGCACAATAAAGATAAATGGTAGGATATCACGAATTTTAAGCCGTATGTCTTAATGCGGCACAGCCTGTACCTAGAATTTAATGATAGTTTACTCTATCAATTGTAGTATTTTTATTCTATACTTAAATCTTCAGTTCCTTTGGGTGCAAACCAAACAAATTGCAGCAGTTAATGATCCAACGACCCTATGTAAAACAATGCCTAGATCCGCGTCCGATAACACGATAATAGAATAACAGCACAGTGAAGGGCAACGATGCACACGTCTCATTTAGGTTAGCAAAAAGAACGCACAAACAAAACGAAAATCTGATGGCAACAGCAGCAGCTGGCACACACCGAGCCCGGCGCGAAACAGTGTTATGGTGGCGGAGCACCGGCGGCTGGCCGGCCGACAGCAGCTGCTCCACCGTGCCGTTTTCCGCTATATCAAATACAATATTATATAAACCCAGACGGCATTGTCGAGCCACCGCGGAGACGGTTAGACCACCACTACCACTCACCGCCCACCTTTCACCACCTCTACATAGAAGTACTATTACCACTACTACAATTCTACGCACTCACGCACGCACGCATGTATGCATGCAACGCCAAACGCTGTTGTTTCGTTAAATTACCGATTTGTTATACCGTGCGTGCTCTCCACGCACAATGATGTCGTTGCCGACGCCGGTTACAGAAACGACCCACCGATAGTCGTCGAGCAGCAACGAGGTGACCGCCGATCGACGTCGTTATGGCCGACTGACGGCGTTGGTCTCCTCGTCCATCCGCATTTAATCGTATCCGTGTGTGTGTAGACGACGTATGTATGCATACACGTATACAAGCGCGCGCGATCGAGCATGCATGTGTATATACTTATTTGTGTGAGCTCACGTTGTAATAATACTAAACAGGTTCGTATTACAAACGACGCTCTGGGCAATGAAATATTTAATAGCGTATGCCCCCCCCCCCCACAAACACACAGTTCAAGAAGAAATCGATGTCGTGAATACGCTTTGTCAGCGCACAATAAATTAAAAATAAGAACAGTTATCTAATAGACAAACTCGACGGGTATAAGAACGTCTTCTTTTTCTAGACGTATTAATTTCAAACCGTGTTGTTTTACGTAAAGAACTGGTACGAGTAATTGCAACGATTTAAGCGATCCGAACACAATGGCCATATTAATAGTATTAAAACAATATTTATTATAATATATAACAACGTTATCACAATAACGTTAACTATTTTTGAATCTAGTTTTAATAATTATTATTTTGCTCATTTTTGTTCGTTAACTCCGTGGGGATTCGTGAACGATTTCCACAGAGCACATAAAATAAATTATCATCGTGTTTGTTTATATGTAAATCGCCTACAGATCGCTTAATACTTCCCTGGTAACAATACGTTGCCTAATACGGAAATACACCGTTAAATCGACAGATGTTGTTTGGCGTGCATGCGTAAAGGAGGGAGGCGGCGGACAGGAGACACCGTGTAGGTATTGTCGAATATTGGGGTAAAAAATAAATGTTGGGTGTCTGAGAATGAAGTTGGGAGGCATTATTCATTTTGTGTCGTATGAACCTTAACCGTTATTCAGGCGAAAAATCGTCGAAAACACAAATACATAATAGAATAATTAGAGGCATCGGTGTCCAGGTAAAACGTTTAAAACGTTGACATTTGAATAGCAGAAACCATTCCAAACATTATTTTTTACGCCAAATTGATAAAAATAACACAATTAATGGAATGACTGGCTGACAGAGGGAATATACCGTTATTCACGTATAACACGAATTACGAATTAACGAAATAAAAATAATAGTTAACTTAAAAAATGGTTACATCAAAATGAGCCGCAGTTTAAAACTATCAGACTTGCTGCTTAATCTTCTGAGCACAACGCAACAACCAATACACCGAACCCGAAGGCATTAGTTTTGGACAAAAACGAAAAATGGCCTCGTTTGTTCCAAGCGGGTCAATAGTATTTATATACAAAATATTAACGTGAAAGTATGAAATCATTGTGTATACGCGTGATCTATTAATTTTCTCAGAAAATAATAAAACTTAGTAATCTTTTTTTTTTTTAAACATTTTTACCTATGTCATTGTACCATATGATAAAATTACTTTTTAAACTCTAATGAGCATATATATTATTAATTTTTGAAAAGAAGAATAACGTGCTCAACATTTTGACTAGTTGATAACCAGTTTTGAATAGTTATTTTAAGTCAACAGTTTAAAATTTAGGCAGGGAAGTAGGACGAAGTGAAGTACTATTTCTATCAGTGCGTATTACTCGACCACACTCCACCTGAGAAAATGAGCGTCTTACGTCAAATGGATCTCCTGTACATCTACTGTAGATAAACTACGTCTTCGCATACCGCACTAGTCGGCACACACGTCATAAAGTAAATGTACAAATCGAATTACAAACCTCGTAGCTTAAACAAGTTAATAAACTTAAAAACGAACCGTCCAAAAAATACAAGCTTGCAGAGACATAAAACCGTAAGCAGATTTCTCCTATAGAGTAAACCAGACAGAATAACTTAAATGGAATTTAAATACAATTGTTTAACTATAAATTGCCAATTTATTTCGCGCGCTAATGTGCCAATAGGACATTCCGACAGAGACCAAAAGACAAGTACCAATTGACGTTTTGCCGAGTTGTTAACTAGAAAACACCTTTAAATACCATATGACACTATCAATACATAAGACCTTCAACATTTTGTAATGTATACACTAAATAATTATAATAGAGATAAGCGAATCCTCGGTCGCACATAATATTAATACACTACTAATTATTAATATAATAGTGAAAACTATCGTGCAATTCGATTAAAATTATCATGAAAAACATTATTAAGTAATAATACATATTATACGGGCCGGAGGCGAAAATTCCATTTGGCGGTGCAACGGCAGCGACTTCCCCGGTGTGAACGCGACGCGAGTACAGGTTTCTCTCCTTCAATCGCGTAGCGCCGCCGCCGATCACGAAAGTGAAAAACACTAGACAGTCACGCGGTTAGGGGGAACGCGCGGATAGATAGGAGAGAACGGGGGCGCAGTGCATGTTCCTGGGTACGAAGTCGAGAGACGTGGGCCGCCACCGCCGCCGGACGGATGACGGTTATACGTGTCCAGCAAAGTCGTTCCCCTCCCGCCCACCGGACAGAAACGATGGCGGACAGCCGGCCGGCGTTGCACGGAGGCCCACGGTCGTGCAGACCAGTTAAAACGCGCTCTTTTCGCATTGTCATCGTCGCCCTTCCATTTATGGTGCCTCAATTACCCAACGGACAACGATTGTGGTTTTTATAGTTTGCCTTGACAACGACCACTTTTTACCAATCATTATCAAAACCCATACACAGGTATACACATAAAACAATATAATAATATAGGTAATAGTACCGATAACCAATAAACACAAAGAAAATAGAAAACGCGCGCGCACTTCCTATCTGTCGATATTATTATTGCAGTTATTTTTATTGCATGACATTCGAAAAATGTTTAAACCGTGTACTATACATATTATCACTTTAGGTAATCTTATAAGTCATCTCATTAATCCAACTTGTCAACAAAAATATTTTTTAACGTTTTGGAATTTCTCAAATAAAAAAAACCAAAACAAACGCAATTTACCAACCGGTTTTCTCCAGATTCGACGTGCCGCTATGACATCAGAAAATGATAACTAAATAGTAAAATACACATCGTTTTATTTTATTTATATGCTAATCCGACAAAGAAACCTATTTACGATTAGAAACGCAACGTAATCGTTTTGATAATAGTTCGATAAAAGCAAATTTATTTCCCTCTCTGCCTCAACCACTCGACACGACGGGTAAGAGGCGTTTAGGACAATCGCGAATGCATTCGCCAGACGAATAAGCCTATTTTATGATTACATATGCATAATGTTTTTTTTATTCATCAGCCGCGTGTACCATCTTCGCGTTATAGTGAAAAAAAAAATGCAAACGTTGTCAAAATAATACACACACGCAACGATTTAATAATTGTTATTGGGTGAAATGTGCAAGGCGCAAGGAACTCGATCAGCGTTTTGTTTGACACACACCACTGGCGGCGTGTTTAAATGCATACGCATACACTCCTCTCTCTTAATGGCACGCGTTATTCCGGGAACCGGCGGGACCTCAACGAACAATATAAATATATTATATACCTAGTTTTAAAAAAGAAATCGCGATAGAACGTTAAAAAAAACCAACATCACCTAACCATGGTTATTATTTATTAATAATGGGGACAAAGATTACTAAGGCTGACCGGAACGGACATAGCATGTCTACACCCCCGATAGTGATATCGTATCGGAAATTATACTCGAACGGTGGCCACCCTTTTACCTACGACGGTGACGACCCGTTAAGAGTAGGGGACTTGCCGAGACCCACGTCAATTATTATTCTATCGACTGTACACGTTTTTTTAACCTATCGATTTTGTACACACACACAAATTAAAAAAATGTGTAATAATAAAAACTCACAAATCGTCGTTAAACGGCTTTGTAGTATCTACCGGTTCTCCGTACAAGCACATATCTCAAATTGGCGGAGTCAAAAATAATGAACATATCGCGTTTTTGTCCTTCCGGTGATCGAACTAACATTTTCAAATTCAAATGTCTGTTAGAACTTTTAAAGGCCATCTAAAGCTCGTTTCCTGACAACGGCAGTTTGATTTTCAATGTACAGACAATGATATCAAAACTGACCCGACACAACGAAACATTATAGTAAGATTAATAATAAACGAATGTAAACAAGGACGTCAATCGCATAATTAATACATACATACATACATAAAAGATGTTTTCGTTACTACTGTCGGTAGTTCCTCATAAATTTAAATCCCAGAGATGCGTTAACCGTCGTCGTTCCATGGTAGATCCGAGCGACCATTTTAATGTACCGGTAGTTTTGAAATAACAAAAAAAAACGACGCTCAAATCTAAACAATCCGTTATCGTCTATAATATGTACACGGCCGAAACGATTATGTCGTACCAACACACGTGAAAGCGTGTTGCGCGGACATACGCGCACGCGGAATACTACTGATATTATACCTTTTATAATATATATATATATATATATCTATATATATGTATAATAATAATTGTATAGTACAAATAAAAATGCACGTTATAGCGAAACCGGGCTTACCTTGATGTTACGATGAGATGACAACAACGAATAACGTGGCGTCGCTGTTGTTGGCCACGAGTTTGTGGACGGGCGACTCGTGTAATTTTATTTTAATCCACTCAATCTGCGTTCGCACACTACTGAGATATCGGAATGGCGCGCACAAGTACACGGCATCGGACCAACCGGCCGGGTAAAAAAACGGCAAAACCGATGTTTCACGGCTGCGGGACGGCGTCGGCGTTTACCGGTTCGCACATCAAAATAACAACGGTGACAAGTGCGGCACGGAGCGTTTAAAACAAAAACGCACACACTTTAACACTAATACTGATATTATGATTACTGGAATGGTGGTCAATCGTGTAACGGATGGCGGTAGCGGCGGCGGTGGCGGCAGATTATGTTGGCTAGACGGCGGCCGAAACTGTTGTGTGTGCGCGAGACAAACACAAACAGCCGCCGGAAAATGGCGGACGGTCATCGTTGAGCATCGATGACTGCGTTTATACCCGTTCTACCGTGCCGCCATCTGCTGTCCACGTTAGTTTTGCCGCGGTTGCTACCGAATTCAAAATCATACAATACAATGATACTACGAACTGCGGGTTATACACAATTTTCAAAACTAAATTATCGTATAAAATGTATGTTTTGTATGTACGTCACTTCTACTCTAGATTTAACTAGAATATATTATATCGTTCGTTAATTAAACTGTATCGTATATTTAAAACGAGATGATTCATAAAGGATAAAACAAGTCATTTCCTCTTAAAATATTTTCAATTTAGTAGTTTTTCTTTTTGGATACACATTAATGTTATTTTATAATATTAGACAATATTAAAATATTTGGTGATAGTTTTCAGATGTCTTCAATGCACAATCCATCTTCAGAACAATAGTCACTGTTCTGCTGTAGTGACTATACTGTAAGTAGGTGTACAGTATAGTCACGTTAGCGAAAAAGTGACATCGCAATGAGTCTGAACGTCAGCGAAAAACTAAAGAAATGGATGCATCTGAAAATTATTCACATAATATTTAAATCCATGAAAGCTTCAACATATTAATAATATTCAATTTTTCAAAGCTCTTTCAACTTATAAAACTTAAATTTTAATGTGTTTAATTAATTAAAAATCATTTTCTGAACATTTTGTCTGGTCAATAACCAGTTTTGGTTAGTTACTAAAGTTTAAAATTTAAGACGAGAGGTGGAGTGCGATAGAGTAATTTGTCCAGATACCCCCCAAAGCTTCCTCCCTTAACTAGTCAAAATGTTCAGCTATTTATTCTTAATTTAATAGGTTAATTAAATGTTTACATTACGATTTAAGTTTCAAAAGTAAATAGAGCTCTGGAAAATACTAAAAAAGGTGAATGTAAAGTAATTTTATAATATTATAAAATAACATAAATAAAAATATTTTTAAAAAGCAAAACTGCAATTATTTTAAGAAAAATGAGTGTCTTTACACTCTTATCCTTAATGAATCATCACCCTGTATAAAAAAAGTAAGGACTTTTGTGATCCTTTTTTTAATATATCATAATAGTTTTATCAAAATGAAGTATAGAAATTCAGCCATTATTTCGATAAAATAATATTGCCATTAAAATATGTATAATACTGTTTGTTATGTATTAAAATATGTTTAGTTCTCTGCTGTGTTCAAGTAATGAATGGCACCACATAAATTAAATATATTGATAATGGATAAAATCTGTAATTTCATCACTGTGAAATCCAAAAGTGTGGTTGGTTCTTATATTAGTGTTACCCAGCTTTTTTACACTCGTACTATGATTATGCATGTCTTTTAAGTTTAAATTGATAGTATAGTAGATGAAGACAACCCACAGAAATTTCACAGCAATGTACCACATAAAAACAAATCAGTTTTTTATGAAAGCAAATTTATTTGTCTCGAATCGTTCATTAAAAACATTTATATGGGTAAAAACAATACTGTAACTATAGTTTATATTTTTATTCCAAATAGTTACTATTTTTATTTATTTACTACAGAACTCATTTATATTTTTAATTAATTCATAATTATATACATTTTATACATCAAATTTATATATTCGAAATTCAATTGTATACATATATATTGTAGTAGAATATTTATTGTAGGCAGTAAAATTATTGAAAGGGTTTTAGTTAATTTGTAACCCTAAACATTAACAGTCGAAAACTACATACTAAAAAATATCTAAAAGCATAGTTATATAAATTAATTGTTATATTTAATGCAACTTAATAAAAAAAATAAAAATGTATAATATAATTTTTAATAATCTTTTATATAATGTGGCCATTTTATAACTAAAGTTATTATAATAAATAAAATCAGTTTTATATGGCACATCCATCGTCATAATTTAATGTTTTTCTATTACATTACATATACTTTTTCTGCTTGTTTTAGCCAAAACAAATCTTTAGTTTTCGGGCATATTATCTGTCCATTATTTTGGTTGGCCATCTCCACCAAAGCCTAAAAATAACATGTTAATGTAATCGATTAATTTTTAAGCATAACCGTAGGTACATATAATAATACAAATTACCTGCTCTCCGTAAACATATCCATTTGGTAATACCATAGGTATATTGTGTTCGTTTAAAGGTAGTCCCGAAATTGAACAAAACAAACGAGACTGACTACAATGCGCAAATGGTAAAGGTTTAGCCAAAGTATTAAACCATTCTTGACAGACGGGACAACTGGAATTTCGAGCTTCTTTTTGTTCGCTATAACACTGAGTAATCTACTGTTAAGTTAATTATTTTTAAATAATGTAACTGAAAACATATTTCAAATAAAACATGTAAACAAAAAACAAAATTAATGATCCAAAAAAAAGTATTTCTTATAAATATGGCGGTTTTAAAAAATATAAGTGAAAACTAACAAAATTGTTCAATATTAAAATGTTATTAGTTTGTATACTCTTAAAACGTAAAAAGATTGACAGCTTTAAGATAAATGTAAAATAACCTAGAAGTCTTCAACACAAATACTATGTTTATCAATGTATTTTAAGAAACTATTTTCTATTATAAAACTAACTTGAAGAAATAAAAAATAAATAAATATATCATAAAAAGGATATGGAGTTTTGAGAGCAGATAGTCCGGCTTGCAAAGCAACCGTGAACACTGACTGAGAAGACAACTGATACAGATTATAGTTTTCTTGGCGAAATTGTTCGATCAAACGATTCCAACGAGTTTCTTCAAACATTTCTTTATATGGTGATATTTCTAAAAATATATTATTTACAACTTAAATATAATTTTAAAAAATACAGGTTTAAATTTAAATATACTATATACTATACCTGTATCAGTAGGAAAGACTAATAGTACCATACACTGTTGTACTTCATCCATACGTGTATCTTCAAATGTTGATATATACTTTCTGGCATGTCTAGTTTACATTATTAATATATATAAAAATAATAAATTGTACAAAAAATGAGTTCCATACTAACTTTACAGCATCAAGGCGTTTATCTTGACGAACCAATTCGATGAACTCTTGAATGCGCAAATTAAATTCCATAGTGGAATGTAGTTTGCGTAATTTTGAGCGATTATCGTGACACCAAGCTAAGCATTTTGCCGTTTCATGATTAGCTAGTGATAGCTCAACTTCTCTCGATACCATAAACAAATCTAAAAAAAATTGACAACTTAAGTTAACCCGATTAACATAACACTTTAATACATACCTATATTTGTTAGATCGTTTAGATCGGAAAAGTTGGCTAATTTTTTTGCTGAATTATAGTATCCACATCGTAAGAAGTATTCTACTAACATACGATCCAAGCGACGACGACGCCAATTTTGTACTATAGCTTCGCAAGGTGAACTATGTTCTTTCAAATGTTCAAGGCGTTTCTTACAAACCATACCAGCTTGTAATTCATCATTTATACCTTCATCAGCCTGACAAAGAATCATTAAATACTTTGTAAATACTATTAAAGCTTATATATCTGTGACTTGGAGCAAGAAGGGCCAATGTCAATTTTGTGCATAAACGAGTTAGTCCGCTAATTGCAAAAATTGAATCATTCTTTATATACTGTGAAAAAATCACACTCTGAGGCCAAAAAATGAATTACTCATGAAGAGTTTGATAAAAAAATTAACATAGAGTCTAATGGAAAATAAAAACTTAAAAGCTCATTTTCCGAAAGTTGCAAAAAGTGACTTTGGCCCTTTTTGCTCCAAGCCACAGATATACAAAGAGAGAGAGAGAGAAAGAGTATAACACAAATATAAACCTTTCTTTTCAGGACTTTGAGTTTTTCTACCATTCCGCTTAACAAAGAAGTGATGTGTGTAGTATCAGCCATTGTAACGTCTGATGATATGTCACGCTCAAACTCTTGAACAGCATTTTGAAAATGCGAAACCTCTCTATCAAGCGTTTTTTGTGTTGAACGAAATTTCTTATTGAGAACCTCGTATGGAACCTGAAAAATTGACACACATATTAAACTCATATAGATAGGTTCTGACAATGTGTGCATTTATTTTAGTTCATTTAGGTTCCCAATCATTATTCTAAACCTCGTAACAACATATAAATTTAGCTTTAGGAGCCATAATATTATTTTCTGTATTAACGTTTGAATCATATAATTTTATTATCGCATGCAATAATACTATTTTGTTATTACCTTTAATGTTGGATGTTCAAGAGACTTTAAATCAGCCATTTTATAAATAAATAATTACGGATATTGTACACTGCAAAACGTCAAAATAGGAACAGGGTGTGCGAAAAATAGTATAGTTAAATAATAAATGCTTCCAATTAATCAAAAAGAAATTGTGAAATTAGACATCGACCATCAGTGCACGACTAACAAGGTCTGTCAGCATGATTCGTATAACTAATAACTCAAGTTTAGTCCCAGTACTTTTGCTAATTGCTAGTAATCTAATCACAGCTGTTTTCGTTATACCAGCAGACTAACAAAAAGTACTGAAAAAAATTAGCTTTTTATCGTTTACTCCAGTTAAACCAGAAAAATGCACCGAGGCCTGAGCATTGACCATAGATAAGAGTTAGTGGGTATCACTACGGATAGATAGGCACTTAGATTATATATATAATACAATTGTATATGATCCAAGGATAGGGATAATATTATGCAGATTGCAGAATATAATCAGCTAGTAGCTACAGCTCGAAGCAATTATGATTTTTTATAAACGTAAAATACCAAATGGCTGCAGCCCCGCTGAGTTACTTTGTCCCATGGCTGAATCAATATTTAAGCCATGCATTGTCCCCTGTGCGACAGCTGACGACTAAAATTAAGTCGACAACAGCTATGTTGTTAAAATTGATAAGATAAGTTGCCGACATACCTATGCACCAAGGTGGATTTTAAAATCCACCTTGCTTGTACATATTAAATCAGGGTAAACTGCAACTTTTATCATAGCCATGGCCCATGAGCATTGAGCAGTAGCTGGAATAATAAAGTCTGTGCTTCATAGATCCTGATGTACAAGAGTTAGAACCACACGTTTTCTATTGTAGTTATATAATATCTATGATTGGAACTCCCGTAACTGTAAATAGTGCAAGAACAATAAGTACACAGAACCAAAAATTACATCAATCCATTTGTAATATAATAATTGGTACTGCAGTCAGGAAGTAGAAGATTTATAATAAAAAATTTTAAAAACGTTTTGGAAAAAAATGGAAGTACGACGTAATGCATTACTATGCGTTGTGATTTTTTTTATACTTCTAACGTAGGAATTAATATGTTTTGGCGTAAAATGGATATAATACAATTTGAATGAATTTAAATTACGAAACATTGTCCACCTTTCAATCCTTTATTTCTATACTACAAAAAGGGAATGGAAAAATAGACTTGATTAAAATGAATTCCTCGTTTATTTTAAAATAATAATCAATATTTACCTCAATTTATAGAATTTTGTAATAAAAACGTTTAGGATTGATACTCTTCAATTCTCCAATTGTAAGTCATCTCACTTAAAATACTTGTATTAAACGTTTTGTTTTTAAGATACTTTAAAGTAGAAGATGAATAACATTTGCAACTTGATTATTTCCCAGCGCCAATAACCCTTCATATAATAAGTCCGATAATAATTCGCATTCATCGGAAAGCTTGGAAAAGAGGTAATAATTCTTTTTGATTTTTCGGAGATACGCTAAAATATATTTACCTAGGTGTAAAAAGAAAAAAAAACTTCTCCGGCATTTCAGAATCCTATTACTGATACTGTTTATTCTTATACTTGGATCATTTTCATAATTTGTTTTAGTATTTTCAATTCAAATTTACAAATTTGACTAGGGACTTGGAAGAAAATCCAACATCTGGTTTCGTTGACGAAACATTAGATATAGAAATTGATTATAACGAAAACGGAAATCCAATAGCCTTACCGAAGAGAAAAGTAGACAATGTTAATTTTATAAAAGTCGATTTTTCATTTTTTTGTTCACAATATGATAATTAATCATAACAAATCAACAATTTTTTGTATAAAGATATTTCACAGATTGCCTTAACTTTAGCAAAAGTATATTCTTTTTTTTTTTTTTAAGGAAATAGACAATGCCCCATGTAGATCGTTTGTTAATAGACCATAAAAATTGAAACAAAAAGTCTATACCACATACATTGAAACATCATCATTAAACATCGAAAAAGTTATAAATGATTATAACTTGGGTTAATTACAAAACCCTTGGATTGCAAGTTAACAGACCAATTTACCTTACTCGGTTACATCTTATGTACATTTTAATTTTGACAAAGCCTGAATGAAAGCTATTATTAAATCAAATACACACAATCTAGGCCTATGAAAGCTCAAGCCCTGCCAGTTGCTCTTGCTGGAAAATATTTCATTGGTAAAGAAAAGAAAAAATATGAAATTGTTCAATAATTAAATTTTTTTATTTTAACAAAAAAGATGGTAATCTAAACGAGAGTTACGCAACAAGTACCAAAATATATAAATATTGTACTAGTTAAAATGGGTTAGTAATTGTTTTTTTATTTGTATAGATTTTTGCAGCAGTGAAAACATTTTGGAAAACTTATAATCTCCGGATCATTTGTTGTTACAATGATGCTTCAAAATGGGAGCAATAAAAAGACTCAATACCGACTTCCATATAAGGACCAAAGCAAAATAATACTTCAGATCAATTGTCTTAGGTAATTTTTTATTATAAATCAACTATTAAAAGTTTACATAATACTTAATTTGTATGCGGATTATTTTAAGTTACAATTATAGGTCATTATAACTGTTCTATAAAAAAAATTTACGAAAAAAAACTTCTGTAATAGTTACCATCCTAGGTGTTAGTTGATTTCTATTATAATATATGAAAATAATAAAATCATCAGGCTACATTGAATTTTAATTTTTAGCTACTTAATTAATAAATTTGAGAATATCAAATTTTTTTTTTAAAAATTAGTGTTTTTAAGTAGTTAAGAGGATGCTAAACGACTCAACATTAATTCGTAAAAATTGGTTTGCACATGACAAAAATACAAAGACAGTATTACCAAATTGTTACAAAGTATAGAAAAGAATTTTATCTATGTCATAGTGTTTTTTTATGACTTCCCTGTGTTACTATAAAAACAAATTAAAATGCTACAACACAGATAGTTTACTTTTATGTATTATAAAAAATTGATAAACCTAATTGGAATATTGTCCTCATATGCTTGTCTACACAAAGCAGTTTTGATAAAAAAAATGATTTTTTTTTCCTATAATAAGACTGTGAAAGTTATACACGTCTACTTTAATCTCTAAATTAAGATTTGGCAAAAAATTTCAATAATTTACACTTAGATAATTAAGTGGTTTGGCGCCCTCTTAATTTAAATTGATAAAAATAAAGTTTATGCTTTTGTACAAAATAAAAAAGGCAGATGTCAGTACTATTTGGATTTTGGATATTAAATATTTAACAATAATTATCGCTTTCCAAATACTTTGCTTTTTTATAATAAAATTAAAACAAAGATAACATACATGATATTGTGTGTGGTTTTCACATACAGAATATTAAAAAAAACTCAAGTCTATTAAAGTAATTATAAATTATAAACCAACCATGAATATATAATGGTTGTTTATAATAATAATCACTTTTACATAATAACAAATAACTTGATAAATGAATGTTTAATTATGATATATACAAGCTACTCAAGTAAGTAAAAATTGAACCTAGTGCTTGTTTTATAAAGTTATTACATCAACAAGAAATGGTTGGTAAAAAACTTATTCCTTAATAATAATGAATTAAAAAAAAAATAATTTAAAGAGTGATAAAAGTAATTATTATTTTGTACTTTTTGTAAAAAAATTATCATTTGAATATATTGTCAAGTTATTACCATATAGATTACTGTTTAGTCATTAGTGTCACTATTAGTCCAAATTAAAAATAATTCAAACCAATTATTTACAAAAAGCTAGAAAAAGCATAATATAATAAAAATAATTTTAGTAAAAAAGTAATAATTAATGAAATAAAAGTTAAGTAAAACAAACTTCATGAAAAAACTGATAATTGTTTTATTATCACTCCTAAACAAATTAAAATTCCAGTTACGTAATAAAACGTATTAAAAAATTAAATTAAAAGATGCTCAATTTTCATAAGAAACAATTAATGGACAGTTGAAAAGAATTTGATATATATTATATTTAAAGGATAAATCTGCAACAGAAATCAGTCATATTATTTTCAATATAAATTGATACTCTTTGTCAATTGCATGTAATATTATCACCAAAAACAAGCTCCTCTTTTACTCTAAAAGTCTATTATATGATCAAAAATTATTAATAAATTGGTAATCACTGTTTACAATAATTATTATTTATGCAATTCTGGTAAAAATATTAATGTATACCATGGACAATCATTTTAATTCCGATTTTGTTTAATCATATTTTGTACATTAATATTACAAAATATTTATTGTTGAGTCAATTTTAACGCAATAATATATAATATATATATATATATATATATGTATATTATTACTGTAAATCATTTTTTACAATAATTAGTACTTGAAATAAATATAGTTAAATATAATTTGATAAACAAGAGTTAGTAATTCCTACTTATTAAACATTTAAATATTACATTATATACGACATTCATCATTAAACTATTAGTGTATTTTTTAAAAAATTAATATAATTCAAGATTTAAATTCGGAATATAATTGTGAATTACCAACCTTATTAGATATTTAAATAAAATCCACTATATGTTGAAGTCTTTGCAGTAAATGGCGGGGTTGTTATAAATAATAATATACTTAAATAGTAAAATCACTTTTTTTTAAATATATTTAACTCTAATAGGATGGCGAGATAAGAGGACTAAAATTACTCGTATTTGAATATTTAAAAAGTAAGATAAAAATATTCTAAATTACACTTTTGTATTGTAATTTAATCAGGGGCACTGAATAATTTCTGTAATTATTAATAACTAAAATGAGTAATTTATATATTTTACGTTACTAAGATTATTTTTGTAGCAATTACATGGTAATAAAAATTGGAAGATGAACATTACCTACAGTCTTTATACAATCAATTTCGTACAACTAATGTTGGTTGAATAATCTACATATACATCATAATAAGTTATTTTCATAAATAATTTAAAATATTATACTAGTCGTAAACAATTGTCAAAATAAAAAATATATTTATGGCCGTAATAATAACTTGCATTATTTTAAAACGCTAACTAACACTATTTGACAAATGCCACAAAATGTTAATTGGTGTATCTGCACAGGCTAATGTACAGTTATATGTACAATAACAATGGAATAATGACAGTTTTATACTACTTTTTTTTTTTTTTGAGAAAGATTAATAATTAATAAGATAAAACGATCAAAATTTAAGTGTATTATTTACACAAATACACCAACATACATTCTAAATAAAATAGTATAACATGTAGTGAGTTACCTCCAAATTACATTTTATTATTTAGTTATTAACATTTAGAAATGGGTAAATTAAATAATTATAAGAAAAGAAGTCAACAATATAATTTTAAAATGAAAGGGATAAACATTAAGCAGACATTTTATCCACGACGATCTGTTCTGAATTTTATCTTTACTGAATAAATTAGTTAATTATATAATGTATTGTTAAAAAAAAAACGTTTGGTTTTTAGGAAAAAACGAATTAAAAAAAAAAATATATATAAAGGTATACATCGGTAAATGTTTACCAGCTAATAAGCTTAATAACATTCGGCATAAACATTCCAAAAACTAAACCGCAGCAAATACCGGTGATCAGCATAGCAGCTCCAAACATTCCAGCGACTCCACTGTATCTTGGTTCAACACAACTGAAATTATATTTTTAATATATATTAAACAAATTTAATTGTTTGATAAAATAAAATACGGCATATCATATATTATTAAAATTTGTAGTAAGATAACACTATAATTCAGTGCCTGACCGTCGATAGTTCAACACATGATTTACTTTACAATTGTGCGCTTTTATAGCTTCCAGCAGCAACTCGGTTATTACGTTGACAGCAGATAAACAAGTAATATGATTATCATTATTTTTTGACGTTGACTTGTATTAAAGAAATGAGCTTTAAGGCTAGAACGGGCAATTGCATAACACTAACCTCCAAATGGAAGTAACACACCCACATCTCCAAGTATAACTAGTATCCAAAACGCAAACAAAATTACCAATCTTCTTCATCTTTCCTTTATACTCCCAACTACATAGGGTCGGCCACTCTAGACCTACACCTCCATAGAGCTTGATCTCCTACATAGAGCACGTTCAATCACCCCAGCTATCCTTATACTCATATACTTTATTTCCTAACTGAAATAAACATTGTAAATAGCTTATAAGAATTTTTTTTTGCAAATAACATAATAGCACTTCTTTTAGTCTTTAAATCTTTAGGTACTAAATACCAGTAAATTGTAATAATATATAATACTCAAAATATAGACTAGGCTAAAAATCAGTTAAGGCTTTTAAATTAAATAATAAAAACGAAAAACATACTTTTTTATGACACGTTGAAAACATATTATATAATGTGTAAATAACAAACCTTTTTTCTTTTTTTTAAAAATGTATCATAATTGCTTTTCTGATGGAACAACGACATATTATGTGCGAAATTTGAATTTTTGACATAAGTAGTACAAAAATTAAAATATAGTAAAAAAATAAGTACGAAAAAAGGTTATTTTATCCATTGGAACAATGCCATAAGTATAATATCTATTAATTTCCACTTGAGAGCAGTGGCGTCGTTGTTCCAAATAACGGTTTTCAATCACATGTTCAGCAGAACTATAATTTAAGGGTGCACGTTTTTCCACCAGAGTAGCGAATTATGTTATACCAAATTTATATCATACAAAGTTATCAAAACATTAGATTATTTTACCTTGGTATATACATCATTGCAACTGAACTCAAATATCCACTTGATAATCCAAGTATAGCTCCCAATATCCAAAATGCATAATCATTATTTATTATAACTGGAGTTAATCTAGAAACATCTATTGGATGATAATTGCAAATTAAAAATAATGGAATAAGGACAACTCTTAAAATAACCGGAGCAAACATCCATTTTGGTTTCGGCTAAAAAAAAAAAGTTATAAATTTGTTATTATAATTCAGTACGTCCACATAGGATTATATACAATTGAATGGTTGGCACAAATAGCATTGAAACTTATATTTTTATCAAAATCAAGATTTCACTGAATAAATATTCTATTGCTATGGGGACAAGAAGAAGGGATTTTTTAAAGCACATTGGCAACCAGGGTACTAATAAAGCCCATATACATCCATATACACCTGAGAGAAAAATTCAATTTTCTTCAAATTTGAGTTTTGTCAACTGCAACGTCATTTGTGCAAACCATTAAAATATTGTTTGAAAAATAGCAATTGTATAAGTTTTCTCAAAAGTCATGGCTCTGTACATAACTTTTTCCTATAATGAATTACAAAGGAGTGTAGGGTAAAACCATAGGCGAGTCAAACCGAGTTTCTATAAATTATAAAAACCCGGTTTGACCCGCCTACCCAGTTTCTCCTTACTCACTACACCCTCTCTCCCTATTTGATTAGTACACCTATATATTTATAATATCAAATAGAATTAACAAGAACACATAATTCAAATGTATAGACACCGGGACACTTAGCGCTGCAGTGGCTAACAGCACAAAGGTTATCCTCTCATAAAAAAAAAGCATTGAAAAATGTAAAATTTACATATTTGTAATTTTAAAAAATAATTATGGTATATTCTTTCATACTAATCAAGATGTTTGCTATTCAAAAAAATGGACAAACCATTGCTTTAATACTGTAGTGGTTTTTAGAAAAAATTCCCATATATTCACGTATACACAACCCGACATTAATATGCCTATTGTCCACCAGAGCACGCCGTTTTCTAGGAAGTGCCCGGTATCTACAGTAGTATTCTAAAAAAATACTTTATAAAAATTAAAAAAAATTAAATGTATTAAAATAGTTAGTGGCTATAAGTGAATGCCATAATTAAAAATTATTTATAATATTTGTAATATATATTATTATTTATATAAAAATGTCTGAGCTAAAACAAATCTATAAATATGCTTGTTAAATTTAAATTATAGAAACAAATGTTTTGTTAAATTTGCCTATATTTTACCTTTCAATAAAAAGGTATTCGTAATTTGAGTCTCAAATTAATTGATAGTTTACCAAAAGCTGTGAATTGAATCCCAGTACTAAAAATAATAAAAGTAAATCTAGTCGGATATCAAAACGAAAGCGATGAATTAAATTCCAAAAAATGTTAAGAAAAACAAAATCCAGCTTAAACTTTCTCTTTAAATATGTGTTAGTGCTATGAAAAGATAAACAATTAAAACACAGCTATTGATAGTACTGTAAATCATAATCACGGTAAAATTGTTTACGAATTATGTCTTGAAAACATATTTGCTTTGCATATTCTTTATTTCCACCTAATATTTGGGCTGAACTTTCGACAAGATCAAATAGTACAACAAATAGTTGCATGTCATTCCATGCGAAGCCATACGGTTTTTTTATACCTTGCATATAAATACTTGTTTTATTGGTGCACTCAAAGGAATCAATCAAATATATGCATTCAAGTAATAAGTAAAAAAATCAAAACACAATATTAAAAAAGAAATTGCATTAAGAGAACAAATAAGGAATTTCAAGAACAATAATATTACTAGACTTAATTAAAAAATTGGAGACTCCATCCAACCTACACATAATGTCTCTAAATAGACTAGAGTATTTAACTTTATCTGGGACTCAATTTACCAAATCGTAATATACAGCCACAATAAGTGCTATAATTAATCTACAAAATTCTAATACTATTAATTTTATGACATAATTTTTTTGTGTTTTAATAAGCTCTTTATCGTCAATATCGTAGAAACTGAAAAACATTATTCTGAAAATGTTATTTTGTATTATATACATTCATAGGTTAAAGTGTTAAAGTGTTCATTGTGGTTTGGCACAATGAACGGATTGACAAAATACAAAAAAATGTTATATTACCCATGAAAACAATGTGGAAAGATACGAGCCGACTAGTGCAGTAAAATTAAAAGTAAAAAAACACATAATACTGACATAATATGTACTACCAATAAAGAAGTTTGGATCAGACACTTTGATATCTGCAACAAAATGTAAGAAATAATATTGTATATTTAGTTAACAGAATTGAAATATAATAAATACCAGAGTGTACAGCTGGAAACAATGATAGTGTAACAAAAAATATGAAAAAAACATTGAATTGCTGAGACCAAGATTGCTTGAAAATACGCCAATATGGTACGCTACCATCATTATTTTGTTTGGATTCTTGATTTTCAATTTGACGCTGGTAGATAAGTTCATGATACTTATAAAATCTCTAAAAATGTATTAAAAATGTACATTATCCACAAGTATTCAAAATGTATAGATAATAGGTATATATAATAATCTTACATTTAGTGGTAAGGCAAAATATGTGTCAAAGCACGCCAATAATATGAACAGTGCAGTGGTAAAATAGTATATAGCTGCTGTGCGAGCATTAGGAGTAATTGAAATGGATATTATGTTAGCCAAAGATGTAAATGTACCACTTAAATTCGTTCCGAGAACTACAGCCCCTATGTATTTTGGAGGCAATTTGGCTGCCATACCGAAAACTGAATTATTATAAATACCATTAGCCATATTTAACAACATAATACTTCCGAGAGTGAGCCAGAAAAATGTACTCGGAATTTGTGAAGTATTAATCATCACTAAGGCAACAGTAAATACAAAACAGACCACTTCAGTCAGTATGGACCACACTATACGGGTTGTTAATTTTCCACTGAAAAATACATAAGTTATAGGTATATTAGCAAAATATAAACATAAAAATTCTAAAAAAATCTTACCCTATCGGACAGAATATATTAAGCCAATTGAATAGTAAATTAGGCAGTTGTGATGAGATTGTTAAGTATGCCATAAAAATTCCTGCATAGTAAAATTTTCCATTAAGATATTCTTCTCCTAACTTATAGTCGACAAAATACTAAAAACAAAGTGAAATAAATTATTGTAGATTAAATTAAAATGTATATTTAATAAACCTAATTAAAATGTTTCTCGGGCTTGGATCAATAGTAGAATTATTATCACTTATGCATATCTTAAAAACATCAAGTTATTACTTTTTTTTTAATATAAGTAATTTTGTTACTAATACTGTAGTTATAGGGTGTTTTTTTAACAGTTAGATTTTGGTGCAATTGATTTAAACATTTATATTGGTTGATAGCATTGCTTCATCACTGAAATTCTTCAAGTGGTCACCCAACTAGGAACTAGTAACACCGTACATAACTTAAATAAAACACAGAGCACCAACTGTTGCTGCCACACAGCAACGATGTTCAAAATGTGTAGTATTTTTAATTAAGTTATGACAATTAACAAAATTGAAATAACTATAAATTCTTAATTAAAAAAAAACCTAATTTAATGTATTAAAAATTATTTAAACTTTCCCTTTAGACCATGAATTTTCTTAACTGAAGCAATAGATTATATCTGTAACAACTGTGAATAAGTAGGTAAGTCAAATTTTGGTCAAAATTGATTAAGTACGCTAGGATGTAGTCCTTGGCATCTAGCACACCTTGAATAAATCTCGTTGGACCAACAAGAGACCTTTGAGAGAGATGTGAGTTATTGGCTTATGGCTATTGACTTATGACAGCTCAAAATTTTAAATCGCTCTACTATAAAATCACTGAAATTGACTTACACACTTATTCACAGTTGTTACAGATATAATAATAATTATTCATTTTGAAGGGTTGCATAAATATTTAATACAAATTGAATGAATCTTTAAAAATATAGCAAATTATTTTGTCTTATGACAATGTATAAATTAATTTTTTTTAACAAACTTAGTATTAATCCTTTTAGCCATCCAAGAAATTATTTTTTTTAATTTTTGGCATCAAAATTGATTTAAATAACAATGAAACTCTAAAATCAAAACATGGATTTCCATATTCCTCAGAAAAAAATTGTTAATCAATTTTAATACTATCATTATTTTTAAATAAAACATTGGTTCTTACATTATTTTGAAAAAATAAGTACTAAATTACCAAAAACACTGTACGCGTCTTTTCTCGGGCCAGTAACTTGACAATATTTAAAATTATTAAAATTAATATGTGATGCAGTGATTACTTACAGATTTGGCATTTATAAACATATTCCACGGCATTAAAATTCCTATACCATGAAGAACTAAAATCAAATATACTATGTTCCATCTAAAAAAAAATTATCTTACATTATGTTGTTTTTGTAATATTGTTTTTAAATTAAGTCTTATTTAAATACGCCTAGGACATTGAAACGACTAATTTGTTAAACATACCTATCTTTTGGTGGATCAGTCTCTAATACCGCTTCAGCCATACTAAAACTTTTAAAATTTAGTTCGTCGTTCGGCAAGTTATTTTCCTCCCATGCAGGAGTTAAACGAACTGGTAATGGTTCAGTTGCAATACTTGTAAATGAGTTATGTTTAATAGGTTGTCCTGAAAACAAAATCCCATAGCATATAAATATATAATAAAAAAGTTTAAAAATGAATGTTTATGTATTGTGAAATCATTAAATTATAATTGATAATGTTAATGTTCAATTTAATAATATAAATGTAATACTAAAGACATACAAATTAAAAGTATACATTATAATGTGATTATTTAAATAATTTTAATATACATTTTATGCACTCAAGTTCAACAAGAGAAACCATACATTTAGTATTTTGTAGCTTATGTAATGTTATATAATATTACAAATAGTTCATAAGAGACCTTTGAAATCTTATTATATTTTGAAAAAATGTTACTATGCTCAACTATAAAAATGAATTACTATTAAATTTAATTTAAATGTTACTATGACGTGCAATATTCATGTATACATTTCTATTGTATTAAAAAATGTATTTTTATTCCATAATTTTTTTAAATTTATAACTATACAGTTAGAAACAGTAGTGACTACACATAAATTGACACCCAATTTGTTTATTAGACCGTTATAGCCTTAGTCCTTTGTTAAAATTAATTAATAACAGATGGATATTTTAAAGAATGTTTGATTCAATTGCTGAGACAATGGTATTGCTAGCTATGGAGGTTACTTCTTCATATCTACAATTACATCTTAAACGTTTATAATGTAATCATTTAAATATGCTGGTCATGTTCGATATAGTTATGAAAGATTGTTTAATATTTATCAATTGTAATTCAGCAATAATTATACATACATTCAATGGTTACTTACAGTACTGAATTTTGTACACCTAAGATCTAAAACTTTATTTTATTATGAATAGTAAAAATATTTAACAGATAACTGTGATAAAAGAAAAAAAACTAGCTAAAAAAAAGTTCTTAAAACTGTTTTTGTTTATAAGCAAAAAAAATATAGGTTACCTTATGATTTCTAAACTCTTAAAAAAAACCAAGAGCTAACAATTTTATATCACACTATAAAAAAATTACGACTAGTCAATTTGATTAACTAAATACAAAACCTGCATTAAACTAACATACAGCAGACATAAAATATCATGTTGTAATGTAGTTAGGTATTTATAAATATAAGTGACACACAAAATGTTTATTAAAAAAAGTCTTTTAACATTGTGAGTAAACAATTAAAACCAAACAAACAATATTATTGAACTTCCTGAATTTAGGATTTAAAATTATAAATTCAACATCAAAAAGACACATTTCTCATAAATGATATTTCAACAACTGAACTTTAAACACAATTAATAAAACATACTTAAAATTCATTAAGCAGCATTACATTCAGTTTGATCAAAATTATTCTCAAGAACATAATATTAACACAATGAGCATTTCTGTGACTACTTTGCTAACCTTGTTTCTGACTAGAATTGTAATCAGGTAGAAAGAAAACAACCATTAGGTATTCAGTCAGTAAATCCCGTTATTATGCCTTTTTGCACAGTTGTCATCAATAACAAAATGGTGTTTAATTTCAAAATAAAAAACCGGTATGCATTAAAAGAAAAAAAAATGAAGAAGAGACATTAATTACTATAGATAAATTTGAAAAAATAGTTTATTTACACATTTAATTAGACAATATATGTTTTAAAATTACTTATGGGAATACCTAGTGATATAATAAAAAAAGATTTTTTAAAAAGAAATTATAAAAAAATCTTTTAAGATTATATTCTAAAAACATTATTTAGTTTTGGAGTGTCCTAAATTATCAATCTCTAAACACTTTTTGTACTTAAAATTTTTACTTTTGGGAGAGTTTAAATAATAGGTCCGATGTTAATATTATGTATGCAGCAGGCGTTTACTATCTATCTAACATGCCCACAACTATATTCATAGAATTATTGATTCGATATTGTAATTGTATCAAAAATAACAAATCTTTTTTAAGTTACATTTGACCCGAATTTTAACAAGTATGAGGCGAACTTAGGATTTTTATAAAAAATAATAATACATAGAATGTTTGTTTTATTTCTTATAAAGTCTAATAAAAATATAGTAAAAGCAAATTAAATTATATATAATTTTTTTTATCATTTATTTTATAAGTATTTTACTTATCAATACTAGTAAAAAATTCATATTGGTATATTTCATGATTAGTATGTTAACATGAATATTTTCTATTTTGAATACCTCAAAACAAAAAGATCAAAGATCATACCTAAAGGTTATGTACCTTCAATAAAATAACAATAACTAATTATCAACATGTTTGATTAATTATTATTTATATGACTGTATGATGTTTAAGGTCAAAGCAAATTAACAAAAAGAATATAAACATATTATTTATTATTAATTATAATTATTGAATCATTTAAATTTTTTTATGACTATTTTAAATTAAATAAAAGGTATACAAACTATTTATAACTATGTTACAAGTACAATTTTTTTAATATTACATTTTTTTCAATTGTAAATAAAGCTTAAAGTAGGGCCTTTTTTTTGCTCATTTGTATGTATTTAAATATAATTGTTTTATTGTTGGAAATAATTCCAATTAGATACTTTTTTTTTTGTATTTTTTGCTTAAATGGTTATTAAAACATGTTCTATAACAGAGTGGTTGTCAAAGCTTATCATTTTTTATATTTATCTATAAATAACATTTATTTTAATTATTATTATAATGTGTGTCAAATAATCAGTTATAAATAATATTTTTTTTGTACTTTAAATTAATACTCATGTACTTTTATTTTTATTTTTATAATAACATTTTTAATCCTTTGAGTCATAATATTATATTAAAACCACATTAAAAATTTTTTTTTTTCGATTGTTAATTGTGGTATTTTATTGAAACAACTATCAATACAATTAAAAAAAATAAAATAATGTGAGACTCAAAGGGTCAAATACATTTAATTTGAGTTCATATTTACAAATTGTATTTTTATGCTAACCATTGCGGTTTTTCACACTTTTTTAGTAACAGAAAGTTTTTGAGTTATAGCTAAAAAACCTATTATATAAGCAGTTTCTTTTTTTAAATATGCTCATGTGCATACAGTTTACACTCATTAGACCAGTAACTACTACAAAGCAGCATTTAGTTAATTCTTTTATTCCTTTAAGGTAAACTATTTTTTTTTATTTCGGAGGGACAACTCCCACCCGAATGAGCCCCGCAGTAATTGGGCACACATAGTCATCAGCCCCACACCTATGTCCCTTATACTGAAATAGCAAACATATGCTCTCTATGGCGTCTGCAGGTAGCTGCGATAATAATAATTCTGAAAGTTCAAGTTCTTAGTTTCTAGTCTCTTAATTATCATTAAAACTATAGAGTCCACAATTTGTGATTTCAGATTCGTACATTTTTCTGCACCATTGTCTTCAGCATAGAAACAAATATTTTAAGTCTTATTATGAATTAAAATTTTCATAATTCTAAAATAAACTTTGTAACCAGAAATACCTATCTAAAACATCCATGATCTTTAGCATTAAAAAATATTTTTTTTGAAGAAAAGCCACTTGAGAAATCAACTATATTTGTATGGTGCAAATGTAAAATTAAAACATTAATTTATATTAATGTTACCTCTCTCTCTCTTAAGTTTAACGTCCGTTATTCCCGCCAATTGAGGCGGTTTAGATTTGGCATATTAATGTTACCTACTATGCATTATATTATTCTTATATGAATACATTTAGGCTCGATTAGCGGACAAAGTAATTCTTAACAAATTTTATACATAAGTAAGCTTACTACACAGTAATAAAATGAGTCTTACCTTTCGAATTAGATGTTGAAGATTTTGATGGTAACGTACTACCATTTTTAATGACATTTTCATGTAGCAGTAAGTGTTCCTCGCTAATCATTTTTGACCGTTGATCAAAGTTATTAGTTTTTAAACTCATCTTGAAATCTAGTAGTTAAATTTCTAGTATTTATATTTATTTTTGTGAAAAAACCATAAGTATTAATAGTATTAAACTAATATTATAATGCAGCTCAATATTAGATTATAATCACAACATGATCATTAATGAACAGAGGAAAGATTAGCACGGTGAAACGACTAATGAATGCTTTTAATAAGCACTAGTGGAACACACACTCGACTACAGTCTATTAAATAATTATTTACTCGGAGTTTGAACATTATAGCTATTGAGTTTATTTTACTAGTAACTAACGAGAATTTAAATCTTGAAGACTGATCAAAGTGGGAGATGGGAGTTAGTAGTTCAGAAAAATTACAAAATGCTATAGAGTGGTGTATCGGCGTATCGCATTCACGTGTTGAGGTTAAAATGTACACAAAAAAAAACGAATAGACTAAATCAGAATGGTAACTGATAAGAAAGTACATGGGTCTATAGGTAGTAAGTGCAACCAGTGCCACCACCAAATTAAGGGAAAAATATATTGTACACAATCATTTGTACCGTATAATACTTTTATACTGGCAGTCATGATTGAAATATAAAATCAGATATCAGGATACGGTGTTATTTTGGGATCTCGCCGCGAGTATTGTCGCGTCGCGACCGCGGGTCGTGGCGCTTTGCATAACGTGTGAACTTCAAATATATAAAATTCCCAAACTAAGTTCGTCCGACAACATTTGTTTGCAGATTTGTAATCAGCATTAAACGTGTTATTTTTCAAAAAGTTTTGTTACCACAATTTATTCGAATACAAATTGATTTGGGCACAACTCTGGACAGGGGCAGATACAAGAAGGGGGGGGCTATGGGGACAGAAGTGTTTTTATTGTGGATAGGGTTTCTTAATAATTAACTTTCATGTTGCATTAATTCTGATGTCAGTTCTGAATTCAGCTAAAAAAATTAATAGATAACACAATAGTTTTAGAAAATTAAACAAACGTATTTTATACTTCGAAACGGTGTGTTTTAAAACTTTTACAACTTTGGAGACGATTAAAAAAAAACCTTTACATGTGCTAGAACGATATTATGAGGCCAGCTTCGGATTCAGCGAAAAATTAGATTTCTATTGATTCTTTTTCCAAAAGCTTGTTGTACACTGTAATAGTTTGAGGGCCGTGAATTTGATTTTTTTTTAATACGCCACTAAAGAGATAACGTGTCTTAAGTTTCTTAAAAAAATGTATGAATAAATTAATTAAACAATATAAAGTAGATACGACACGTAATATTATATTGATTAAACATTGTAATCAAATAAGTAGTTGAACATTTTACTATTTTAGTAGTAAGATTTACTTTAGATATGGGCTGTGTCGTTGACTGCGTGGTGCGTCACGTGCTGCAAAATGTTTACAGTTGCCACCATAAAAAACTTAAAACAATTGTTTTTCAAAATAGTTAGTGATAACTTCATTGACAACTTTGTAACAACTTATTTGCTAAAAATGTCAATATGAAAAATAGGCTGCCGGAAACCACGATTTAAGATATCACCGGAAACATACAGCAGCCATTTTGTGGTTATCACTTATCAGCTATCACAATTTACAGCTAACAAGTAACAAGTAACAATATAGTTATATCACATAATACGACTCGCTACAGTATAATGTAAATGTGGTACGCGTTTTCCATATTATGTCTATTATCATTTGTTACCCTTATGAAAGTCATAATAATTCCATAGATTATAGTACATACATATAGTTAAATAACCCGACAATATTACGAGAATTAAAGTTGTTATTTTCCATAAAAGCGCGTATAGTGTGCTAATATAATTTTCAAAAAGTTACTGTTCAATCAATGAGTACACTTCAACTCATTTAAGCCAAAAATTGAGATTGGCTGTCGCCTAAAAATGTATACATAACTAGGTATATTGTGTTTAACCGGTTAGGTTATGATCGGTACTGAATTGTTCGAGGCATTATATTTATTATATTAGAAACCTTACGAAAGTATTTTATAATTTCTTTAAGATAGTTCAGGTGTATTATGATGTATAGGCGTTTGAATTTTGACTAGATTTTCTTGTGTTTTCTGTAGCTGTTAGGACTGTTGAGCAAAAGTCAAAATTCGTTTTGTCACTAGCCAAAATTTAACGTATTATAGATGCCTACTGCTGACTGCATAGAATAGTATATTGCCTATTGTAATCAATAGCGTACCTAATCGCAATGCCGGAAGGGAAATTACTACATAGTAAACTTTGAATGTTCGTGGAGTTGAACACTGCTGTTCAAAAATTATTAGCAAATAGGTTGTTTTTTCTCTGTAAACGATAATTTTTGAATTATGAAGGTAGCGCGTGTAATAACGCAGTTTCTTTAAATTTTCATAATACTACTTTACAGGGTAAATAATTTAGACACTCGTTTTCTCTGAATATAATTACAATTTTATATTTTATATTTTTGAAAACATTTTTATTTATGTTATTGTACAATATTATTATTTTATTTAAAATTACTTATTAAAAATAATAATAATACATAATTGTATGAAACTAAGAAATAGTACATGTAACAAACATAAATATTTTGTATTGCACTATCTACAGATTTACATCAAAACATTTTTATTTATTTAAATTTGTTTACGCCCACGGGGGCAAGAGTACAGAAATGATAACTAAAAACTAATACAGCGAATGAATAAATAGCACAAATATAACAAAAATAATAATTACAATTAATCCACAGCACGTATAAGCAACAAATTAATATTATCGGAAAATAAATCAAAATTACATAGATCATTGCACGAACTTAACATGCAATGAAGAGGGCTATTTATAACAAAATAATTTGTATGGTGCTCTAAATAAAATGTCTTATGGTTTCGTGTTTTACATTTAGCACTCTAAATTAAATTTTTTACAATATTTCTCGGCAATCAATCATACCATTAATTATTTTAAAGATAAATGAAACATCTATGAATTTCCGTCGGGCTTGTAGTGACCAAGCTACACCGTCTTTTAACAACAGCTATAGGACAACCAGACGGCAGACATATTAATTTTAAAAGCAACAAAACGGATAAAACGTCCGTGGACTTCTTCGATTTTATCAATAAGACCTACTCGTACCTGGTTTACATTCCACACAGTAGCACCAAATTCTAAACCAGATCGCACAAGAGCGGAATAAAGTGTTACAGTCCGGGTTATTAAACTAATAACAATTCCTCTTAATGAAGCCTAAATTTCTAATTGCTTTAGAACAAATTGACTTGATATGATTGTTAAAAGTTAGGTTAGAAGATAGTATAATACCTAAATCTTTAATATTTTTGACCACTTCTAACTCTTCATTATTTATAACATAACTGTTAATTATAGGACTACGACATGGTAAAAAGATATTTGATTACATTTACTAGCGTTAACTGTTAATCCATATTTACCGCACCAGTCCTATAAATCTATCTAAGTCTTTTTGCAGCTCAAAACAGTCGTCCCTAGAATTAACTACGTCAAACAACTTTAAATCATCCGCAAACATTAAAAATTTACTATGTTTAAAGACAGTCCCTAAATCATTAATAAATATTAAAAAAAGAACAGGGGATAAATGGCCCCCTTGGGGCAAGCCGTATTAAAGTTTAAAGTATAGAACGGTTGGTGAAGTGTCAGGAGTTTAATGTTTTTAAAAGTTGTTGTATTATCAAAATATTTAAACAGTTTTATACCATGTTTTTTAAAGACTAAAAAAAGAAATAAGTGTAATATTCAGTAATAATAAAGATAACATGTGTACCAGGTAAAATAAACTGCAACTGAAATCAAAATAATATTCCTATTTTATTTACATTTAAATTATGTAAATATGTGGCGGTTTAATATTCTAGAATATTCGACCGCCCCAATGACGAGAAGCATCAATAATCATACGGGAAAGTATATAAACCAAAACAAGCTTCACTCTCGACACAGTTCAGTTCGGATTTCCGCTCGCGACGTTGTTCCTTGTGTGCGATTTACGATATATCATATATGGAACAAATCTACTTTACCGGACACCCTTTTTTTTTGATTCGATAGTATTTTTCACGCTAATTACGAATATGTAAAAATTTTGCGCCGCTCGCACTTAGTTTGGAAGTTACAGAAGTTTAAAGTTCGCCAATATCGACTTACGCGCGCGCCCAGCGCCGCACGTCTACCCGCGGCCGCCGGGTACATCATTCGACGATCGCCGCTCTTGACAAAGCGGGCGTTCGTTATACTAATTACGAGCGGCCCCCTCGTCTACTTGCCTCCCGCCCGTCGTAATCTTTTTTTTTTTTGTATTTAGTATGAGTAAACATTAGTTTTGAAATTACAGCTATAAACAGGTTATGCAGGTCAATTTAGTTAAAAAAAAAACTCATAATTAAATAAAGCGACTCGAGTCCCTTCGGGACTCTTCGTTAGGATGGGGGCTCATGCCCCCAAACCCCCAGAGGGAAAAGTAGCTCACCTAAAGGGAATAAAAAAACTAACCTGAAACTGCCCTGGAAGCGGTCAGCGACCTAACAAGACAAAACCTAGCCCAGTGATTGGCGATCTTTAAACGCCTGTAACTTGTTATTAGTATAACGTGCGATCTTTGTACCCGGCGGCCGCGGGTAGACGTGCGGCGCTGGGCGCGCGCGTAAGTCGATATTGGCGAACTTTAAACTTCTGTAACTTCCAAACTAAGTGCGAGCGGCGCAAAATTTTTACATATTCATAATCGGCGTGAAAAATACTATCGAATCAAGAAAAAAATCGAAAAAAAAGGGTGTCCGGTAAAGTAGATTTATACCAAATATAATAATCAAACAAAATCTAAGATTAAATTCCGATACATTCATTAAAATTACAATCATTGTAATAGTTACAAATTATTAAGTATGTATATTGTATATAAAACACAAGTAAATACAATTAGTACAAAAAAATAAATCACAAGTTAAAAAAAAATAATTTAATATTAAAATAATACTCCTACATATTAAATAATAATAACAATTAAAGTTTTTTCATTACTGCAGTTGCTGTCGTTTGGGTCGATAGTTAAATTAATGGTTCCATTATAGTGCCATTATAGTGTTATAATAGTGCCTCTAAACTTCCCAATCAGCATCTTGTAATTTTTCTGCGTGTTCAACCCGTTTTCGCCAATCATTGACAGTGACTGCATCCATATAGCTTCGTGTAAGACTTCGATATAACCCTCATGTCTTTCAACGTCAACCATTTTGAAAGTGGTGTTTTTTTTTCTGGCTACCTCACCTTTCACTTGGGCCCATATCGTTATCAATTCAATGGGTTGTATTGAAAATTATATGGTGGGAGATTAACAACCTCATGTTTCATTTGTAGACCAGCTCGTCCAACTCATACTTTTTTAAGCCGACAGAGGAAAATTTTACTCGCTCTCTCAATTCTGCCAATGTTTTCAGCGGAGAAAAAGCAATACCCTAAGAGGTGAGCCATTTTACTACCTCAGCTTTTCTGGTATTTGACTTCGATACGTTTTCTACCAGCATACTATGGTAAGGAGCGTTGTCCATCACAATAACACAAGGCTCTTCCAAGTTCCAGGTGCCATAAAATGTCATGAAATCAGCTCCGGAAAACTGTGCTATCCATCTGAGGTAATCACCATTATTTCTGCCGCAAAAAATTAATCTTGAGCCAGGAACGAAGCTAATTTTTTTTGCACCAGTATGACAAACACTTAGCCGACCGCCTTTGCCAGTCGGCTTTCTGAACCATTCACTGTCCATCTCGTTTTCCTGAATTTGACTCCTTGTGTAATTTTGATTCACCAAAGTTTCGTCAAGATAGATGACAGGCCTCGTATCACCACTTTCACTTAAATAACACATTTGTCCTCAAAAATGTGTGCCTAAGAGCCACTTATCGTTCCGCTCCATTAAAATATTACGACCATTGTTGCAATTTTTGTAGCGGAAATTCAGATTTCTTAGTATCCTTTGGACGGATTTATACGACCCTTGGAAACCAATTTTTTCCTGCAACGAGACACAATTTTTTGCAGACGTCGAGTATTTGCCTATTAATTAATTAAAATTATTTTTTATATTGATATTTATTATAGGAGGGGTGGAATTTTTTTCTTTCTTTCTCTTTTTCATGCAGTTTTAGGGGTTTATGTATGAAAATTAGAGTAAAGGTAAATCTACCATATTATACAATTTCTTCAAAAATCTGTAGTCAAACAATTTATTTTATTAAGGAAAACCCCAAAAATAGGGAAATATTTCTCTTTGACGGGTTTGAAGGTTGTTATATGTGGTTTATACATACTACCCACAGAATCGCATCGAAGCTTTTATTTAAGTGATTTTATCACTTTTAGTTATAATAATTCCTGTAGACCCGTGATCTATCCATCTCCATTATGCCCCGACCCCACTGTACTAGCTTTTTCTCCTTAATTTGACGTGAAATCCGCTAAACGGGTCCCTGTCAGAGTAATTTTCGAAAAGTTCCGCGGGGGGGGGGGTGTTCCAAAAGTTTGTTCGTATTTGGCGTTTTTGTCCATATATTTAATTTATTATTATTATTTAAAAAACATTTTTTCACGTACCTTTGTGGTAAAATGTATGGACAGCCCTTCTTACTACGTCCACATTGAAATCATCAATATCAGTTACCACCTTCCTACGCTTTTATGACTTTCTGGGAAACGAAAAATCTACTTTCATACCAGGGCCTTTGTTTGATCTGATTTTTTAGCTTCAGCGCAAATATTACGTACCGCCCTCTCGCTAACTCCGCACTCGGTAGTCACCACTTGAGTTTTTTTTAAATCGGCTGATACATCTTTCATTGTCGACAATTTTAAAAAAAAAATTACAGACATGAAAAATGGTTAGTTTTGTTTGGCCATGGATATCGTGTGATTTACAAGAAGTCGTGATGTTGAAAAAGCACAAAAAACAAATTATACCGGTTGAAAAAAAAATACAATCTGAGATTGCATTAAAATATTATTGTAGGACACGTAGGTAATATTTTTTTATTTATTGAAGAATATTTACAATCTATGCTGCAAGGCATAATGAGCAAATTGTTACATTGTTGTATATATAGAGAGAAAACAAAATAAACAAATAAAAACGGTGATGTTGTTTGAGGAGGAAGGCTATTCAGTGATAGAACCCAATAGGTATATTATTTAAACATCACAATCGTGATATTATCTCATATAGTATTTTTTATTTCTTTTTTCAGTCATGAGTTAGATTTAGGGGGGCATAACTATCGATACTTAAATATTAATGTGTGTACACATTTAATTCGTTTTTCAGTTAAAAATAATTTACTAAACATTTTGTCTCCTTGTTAACCAGTTTCAAAACATTACTTTTAAAATTTAAGACGGGAGGAAAGCGGAGTGTAAAATACAAAAAAAAAACTTTAAATTATTATTGTTTGATAAATTGTTTCACATGTTATTTTTTCAAAATGTTCGTTTATCATCAAAACATTAGGTATTACCTTTAATTTTGAACATACTGTATTACATATTTTATAGTTTATACAACCGATAACAGCAATACAATGTATAGTACACATACATAGGTATAATACATATATTATATTATGTATAAATATACACACACGTTTGTAGAAAATCCTAAAAGTTTTGTCAAATTCTACTTTAAAACTACGCTATAATGAACAATTCAGAGACCGTGGAATACTTGTTGAGTGAGTACATATAGAAGAAGCACGAGTAGAACCACTGAAACAAATTTATACAGTGACATAAAGTGGCTGTTGCGCAACATGTCAACTAGGAGCGCAGTAGTCACTGGCACCTTTTCGTGTCCACGACTATAGTACTTCCAGCTTTATCATAATTTTTTAATCAGTCAACTGTAAAGACTAGGAATTCCTTCATAAAACGTCTCTTCAATCAATATATGTAACGCTTAAGTAAACGATGTATGAAAAATTTAAGTTTGATTAAATAATCATTTTAATATAATTTTTTTAAAACCATTTTAATTAATAGAATATAATAATTTCACAACAACAAAAAAAAAGTAAAATACCTAAGAGAAATTAACATTATTTGCTTACATTATTATTGTAACGGCAATCTAATAAAACTGATCACCTAAATTCAAATCTTATTAAAACAATTGTACATAAGTTATTAATAATATAATAAATATAACTACTACTATTCTTTAACTTGCTTACAATGATTATTATAAGAATCATAATATGATGGAAACACAATAATTTTATTCTACATTTTTTTTAAGCTTACAAAAAATACGGATTTTAAACTTTAAGTTTATAATGGAATGTACATGTGAACCAATGAAGAATGAATATAGACGATTTTTGATAATCAATGGTAAGAATATTCATCTGTAAACAGAATAAATGCAAAATAAAGAGGAGTTAACAAATAACAATTTTTCATTTCATTATTATTATTATTATTTTGAAATACATATTTCTTACAAATGACAAGGTGGAAAAATATATTTACTTGAACAATTTTATTTTGGACGAGAATCTCTTGGATAAAATTCTGCTAATGTTGAAGCTGGGACTCTCTTCAACATTTCTTTTGGGAAGATACGCAGTAACTGCCAACCGATGTCCAAAGATTCAAATACTGTACGATTTTCATAGTTGCCTATAATAAAAAAAAATAAAGATTGTGAATGATATTAAAAAAATAGATAAATATGATTTTTTATTACCTTGAGTAATGAAATTTTTCTCGAACTTAGTCAAAAACTCCAGATATAAAAGATCGTCAGGTGTCAACGCTTCTTCACCAACAACAGCTTTCATGGCCTGAACATCTTTACCAATAGCATAGCAAGCATACTAAATATAAAAAATATTAATTTTTTTTTTTGAATTTGTTTAAATAGTAAAACAAAATTATTTATTATTATCTAACCAATCATTTTATAATTTTCTGACATTTTTTCTTTTATACATTTTAAGTTAATGAGAAAAAATCATTACAATTTACTCAGCTATTAATAAAGAGAGAAAAAATACCCGACACAAATGTTTCTTTTAGACTCCAATTACAATTATATTTTTGAAAAATGAATATGTTTATAAAGAAATATGAATTTTTAATTATTATTACATGAATACTCGTAACAACCTAGTATCCACAAGAGAAGGTGACAGAAATTATGTCCACTATTTCAATAAAATATGATAAATGTAAAAATCAGTGGCGTAACTATCAGGTGTGCAGGGGGGGCAGCTGCCTCCAGGCATATTCTAATTTGGTTGGGGCGTTTTTGTATAGTTCACTATACACATAATATAGGGTGCAAAAAAAATGCCTTGCTCCTGGGCCCTTTAGTCTCTAGTTACGCCACTGGTATAATGTCCATCCTCCTCCAAATAAATTCCTAGATCCAAGTTCGGTTCTAAATAAGTTTCTTCAAGAATGAATAAAACCTAGTAAATTAGTCTGGGAATATTTTATTTTATCTAAGAGATTTACAATTAAGAGAAGGTTAAGGGAAAACATTTTTAGATAATGATAGTAAATTAAATTATACATACCAGCTGATTAGATACATCGGAATGATCTTTACGGGTCATGCCTTCTCCAATAGCAGATTTCATCAACCGACTAAGTGATGGTAAAACATTGATTGGTGGATAAATTTGACGATTGTGCAACTGACGGTCAACGTAAATTTGACCTTCAGTAATATATCCAGTCAAATCAGGAATTGGATGAGTAATATCTGAAATGTACACATATCGAATGATTACAATGTAATACAATTTGAATATTATTTCACTGTCCTTACAAAACATAGCACGTTTCATTTAGCCAATAAAAAACAAAACTTCAGCTTGGATATACAAAGGGCTTAAGTGTTCATTTTTATTTGGCAACATAAATGTGTTAGTTTTTGCAATAAGTGTTGATGAATAACTTATAAATAAAATTATTGTCACACAACTCCCACAATTTGAAACTGTACTCTGTTCAGCAAAGACTTTTGCAGTTACTTAAACAGGTTATCCACTGCTGTTCCACTCATACTACCACGCTCTTCCCACTAGTTACAGATTGGAAACCTTCCCATACCAAATGGAGAAAATACATTTTTTTGTTGTTTTCAAATTCCATGTTACAGTGAATTTTTCAAAAAACATGTTAAGTAAAAACATTTTTACTTAAAGGGTAATTATCAAAAGACAAATAGCAACATACATTTGTATTATAAATTACATATTAACAATTACCAAATAAAAGTAGAATAATGTATTGATAATAATGACTGGTTAGGTATACCAGGATACCGATTTTGAATAAATATTTGTTAGTTATTAACATTTGAAGTTTAGATTTGGAATAAAGACCGGTAAGTGATCTGTGTGTGGTATATATTAATCTAAATAACATCACACCTACCTCATACTCAGTCTATGTTTTTAAATGTTAATATGATTAATTATTATTTTTTTATTACATCAATCTGCTTTACATTGGTAAATCTAATACAAAGGTCGCTATTTGACTTTTAAAAGTTCCCTAAACATTACCCTTAAGAGTAATATTTCTAACTTGAATATAAAATATAACTTTTACCGTTCAATATAAAATTAATTTATTAAAACTTTTTAGCTAAGATAATTATTTCAAACAATTTGGCAGCCCCTACACAAATTCAACCTTATATAAAATGTTTAGGTTTAATCACAGTCTGTTTTAAAATATTTTCACTGTAATTTTAAATAAAAAATTTAATATTTTACCATCGTTAGGCATAGTCAAAATGGGTATTTGTGTTATAGAACCATTTCTGCCTTCTACTCGCCCAGCACGTTCGTAAATGGTAGCCAAATCTGTGTACATGTAACCTGGGAAACCACGTCGTCCGGGTACTTCTTCACGTGCAGCAGATACTTCACGAAGAGCTTCAGCATATGAGCTCATGTCAGTTAATATAACTAACACGTGTTTTTCACATTGGTAAGCCAAAAATTCAGCAGCTGTTAAAGCTAATCTTGGCGTAATAATACGTTCAATAGTAGGATCATTGGCCAGATTCAAGAACAAACAAACATTCTCCATAGAACCATTTTCCTAAAATTAAAAAATATAAATAAGTGTTAAAAAACCTAACACATACAAAATTGTACTTAGTAATAATATAAACCTAAAAAAAAAATACTACACACATCAGTTTGTTACTTGCAATCACCTCTGACGAAATTACCTATTAAAAAGTCTTAATTTAATTTCCATTTACCTCAAAATCTTGTTTGAAAAATCTTGCAGTTTCCATATTTACACCCATAGCAGCAAAAACGATAGCAAAATTGTCTTCATGATCATCTAAGACAGATTTACCGGGCTGTTTTACAAGACCAGCTTGTCTACAAATTTGAGCAGCAATCTATAAATATACAAATATGCATAAGACTAAAAATTAACTCAAAGTTCAGTACATAAAGACTATCAATTAAGTCAAAAGTATTAAAAAACTTTCTTATAAGAAATAATTTAAAACAAGTTGTACAATATATTAAAGCTACTTAATAAGTACTCTTATTAAACAGCAAGGCATTAGTCATATACCTGTTTATAATAAAGAAGTTATGATTAATATTTTACATGCAGGGGTGGGAAACTTTTAAAACAATTTTTTTAATAGTGTTGTTATCTATATATAAAAATGAATTTCTGTTTGTCTGTCTGTCCTTTATGCATTACTACACCTTCATCTGATCGCCGTGAAACTTTTGGAAGTTGTTGGGTACACTCTCGCAAACCTAACTGGCATAGTACTTTTCGAAAATTTCACCCCTAAGGATGATCTCAAACACGAACTTTGTACTTTAAATACAAAATGTAAATAAATTAAATGTTTGTAACTATAGTAACCCAAAATAAACACTTGGTTTGTAACTATGGGAACCACGGTACTCGAGCAAATGGTAGGTGATGATTAAAGGAAGAGGCCGATTCTATGCCGATTCTGGGCAAGCATTTAACTGCTGGAACGGGATCTGGGACCCTTAAGTAAGAGGAGGACATAATAACCGAAAAAAATGTCACAAAAATGCTGTCACGCTGTTATCTGATAAGAGATGGAGATTAAAGATGAGGGATGGGGTGGGGATGGGAATTATTTTACTCAGCCCTGGCAGACTAAATCTTGGGCAACGCCGAGTCCGGACAGCTTGTAATTTTATAAAAATAATATCCTAGTAATTTTTAAGAACATTTAAGTTTTTAGAAGTAAGCACTTATTGATTTTAAAATAAAAAAAATGTCAAGTTTTAAACAAAAATATTAAATCCTTTAATTTTAACTAATTAACTAGTTTAAGAAATAATTTATTAGAATAATTAGATACATAACACTTGTAAAAAATTACACACGGTAAACTTATAAAAACGCTCGATTGCTGTTAATCCTTCCAGTTTCAAATTATTAATTTAGTTTTTCAAGGAATCCTAATCAAATTCTTTTACTCAAATATGTTATAATAGAAAGATTACCTATAATTTAATACATATTTTTTATCAATACAGTATTCTATTAAAATAAGCTTGAGCAAATTTAGCTGCAAAGTACTAATTTTTGAAGTTTTTGTTAATTTGAAAATGTGTTGTCCTTTTTCTTATACTATACATTTTCGATCATCTTTGTATAGCATATGTGAAAGCAAGCTTCGGCTGGCATTGTAAAGCTTCGTTTTTCGAAAATAAACATATTATGAAGTATATAAAATAGCATATTTGTTATATGCAATGTGTATAAATCTTATATTATTATCTATCAATAAAATATATATATATATATTTATTTTATGCAACTTCCCAATAGTTTAAATATAAATTAATAGGTAACCTCATTATGTGGTAATCCAGCAGCTGAAAAAATAGGGATCTTCTGTCCTCGTGCAATGGAGTTCATAATGTCAATGGCAGAAATACCAGTTTGGATCATTTCTTGAGGATAGGTTCTTGAGTATGGATTAATCGGTTGGCCTTGGATATCTAAGTAATCTTCAGCTAAAATCGGCGGTCCCTTGTCAATTGGTTTACCACTACCATTAAAAACTCGTCCTAGCATGTCTTCAGACACAGGAGTTCGTAAAATGTCTCCAGTAAATTCACATAATGTATGCTTAGCATCAATACCAGAAGTTCCTTCAAATACCTAAATTAACAGAAATTATAGCTTACTTATTAGATGATTAAAATTAATGGTTCAGGAATTTGATCGTTTTGTAATCTATTGTTTTTTAAATGTATTTAAATAAATAAATAAAATTGTACCTGAACAACTGCTTTAGAGCCGGAAACCTCAAGTACTTGACCCGATCTCAATGTACCATCATGAAGTCGCAATTGTACGATTTCTGCATACTTTGGAAACTTTACTTCATCCAAAATAACCAAAGGTCCATTTACACCAGAAACAGTTTTATATGCTACACAAATAATGTTAAATTAGATATTATTAAATAAAATAGTAGGCAATTAGCTAGTTAGCCACACCCAATTAAAAACATTTTTTAAAGTCACAGGAATTATTTGATTTTTTTCAAATAAAACAGAAAAAAATATATAAAATGAGTATAGTATCTTATAAATACATATATATATATTAGATGTCAGCATTCAAGTATTATTTTATAGGCTTTTAAATCATCATACATTTATTTATACACATCTTACATATTTTTTAGACCAATCCGTGAAATTTATAATTATTTTTCTTAACTTAGCTTGAATTTGTTTTGAAACAATTAAAATCAAATTTATATTTATAATTGTTAATATGTTTTATTTTATGTTTAATATTAGATACTATATTATATATTTTTGATTTCATATCTTTGACCAACAATTATAATATGCTTAAGTATTCCTGCAAACAAGAATTATGAAATTATAACATTATTAATATAATTAATCTTACATTTATATATTATATTATTACTCTTGTTATTAAAGTTGAGTAGTATAAAAAATGTAATGGAAACTTTCAGTACCTAGTTTTTTAACCAGACACGCCCAAAAGTATCTAATACCTAACTTCGTTATACTTACTAAGACGTGGCTGTGAAATAAAATCCCTCGACACTGCCAACACATGTTCCTTATGTGCTTGTTGAGCATTCATGGTGCCAAATGATATAACTTTCAAACCAAACAAAATAAACTTAGTTTGGTTCACAAACTAAAATCGGGTTCACTCATCAAACATCAACTCACAAATTTAACATGAGAATTCTGCCTGACGCCCATATGCCATAACATTCAGCTGTTTCCGAAATTCCACTCCATTCTCCAAGGACTATATCATGATAATTATACAGTGTCTCTTACTAGATATAATTATTGTAAACGTAAAAAAAAAATAAATAATTATATCTACAATTTTAATTTTCTCTAGGTAGTTTTGAAATTACAGTAGTTAAATTTAATAAAATAAATGTCAAAAATAAACTTTATAATATTTTAACTGATTTATTTTAATTTAAAAACAATAATTTTTGAAAGTTTGTTAATTTTATTGAATTTAAATGTCTGCACTGTCATGTCTTATCTATACTGTAGTTATCATTTTATTTCAATAAAACAAATTTATTGTTATGACTATGGAGTATTGAGTTGAGTATTCAAACCTGAAATCTGGATATGAAAAATGGTTTAAACAAAATTTAAAATAATATTAAAATTACAATTTTTATTCTCGGGACATATGTAAATTATCTAATTAAGTTAGACTACAATACAATTTTTTTTTCGCCATCGGCATTTATAAATAATATGGAATGCGAGGAGCAGTCTGAAATGAAATTATTAGATATAATAATAAAATGGAATGGAAACGATTATGGCGTGAAGAATTTAAACACAAGCAGTGATGTGAAGACATTAAAAGAACAAATATTCATATGCACTGGTGTGAGGCCAGAAAGGCAAAAACTAATCAATCTTAGAATCTCAGGTTAAAATACAATTTTAATTTTAATTTACCAATAGATTATACAGTAACACATATTATTAAATTCTTCTTCTTCTTGATATTCCTCTTCTATCAGAGGCTGGACATCATCCTGGCTATATGGATTTGTTCAGCCATGATGATTTTACTTGGAATAATTTTTAATGTGGTGGGTCTTCCATCTCCTCCGCATCGCAGTGATGCAATCATACCGCTGTACTCAGCTCTGCTTGCATTTCTCCAATGTCATTCATTTTCCACCTTAGCCTGATACTGATGCAGCTGCTACTCTGCATCAGGTTCCTTTAGTCGCCTCATACGACAGGAGGACATTCCGTGGTCTTATTCTTACCGGGGAACCACACAGTAATTATTAAATTGAGTTTCTTATTTTTTGTATGATTTAAAAAATATTATTTGTCTACAATATACATTTTCATTGTTTATAATGTTTTATTATTGTCTTTGCTCCTTAACTATTTTGGGACAGACACTAGTATTCATCATCTTATCACAATCCAAGTATTTCCTTAATCTTAATACCACATACATAAATGTCCTCCTACCTCTGACTATCGTTTGTTCCTTCCTTTATTCATATTTATTGGTTTACAAATTCTTGTTAAAGACACAAATACACAGAAAACGTTAAGATTCTTTATTTGCTATTTTCTCTATTTGTCAAAATGCAATAGTTTTCATACTTCTAAAAACTTTTATCTGTTAAATAATTAGTAATACATTTTTTTTTATAATAACATTTTATAAAATACTTTGACATGTATGATTATGTATATAAATTAATATGCATATAGATTATTTATTCTTAATAATTATTTTAAAGTTATCTTTAAAAAAACTACTTAATTAGTTTTGATTGTATATAAAGTTTTATTCATTTACTTTAAACATCACAAGACTTACACTTTTTTAAATTAAGTTAATTGATTTAATATTTATTTTAATAACTAATACTTGCTTAGCTTTGCATCATTGCTTAAATGTAGAATGTGCACAATAAATTAAAAAAAATTTAGGATAATAATTTTTGAACAAAAATACTCGGAGATGTACATTTCAGCAAAACTTGTTTTTTTCATTTCTATTAATTATGTGTTTTAGGTTAGGTAGGTATTTCAAGCTAATATTTTATTTTTACTTTTTAGGTAAAATGGCACCAGATGACTGTATGCTAAAGTCAATTGACATCAAACCTGGAACTAAAATTATGATGGTTGGTTCTAAAGAAGAAGATATTGCTGAAGCAAGTGTCGTTCCTCCTAAAAGGGAAAAAGGGCGTAAATGTAAAAGCTGTGATACAGAAGAATTTGATGAAGAACGAGTTGACATGATGGAGGTTCATTTAGCTAAAGTACAAAATAGGATTGACAACTATGAGGTAGTTATGAAAAAAATACTATTATTTTTTTAAATTAAAATAAACCTACTGAAAGAATGGTACGATAATTTTACACCTGTATTTTCTTTTTGGCATTTATAATTTAAAAAAAAAATGTAATTTTTATTTCCATTACACAAATCTATAGTTGTTAAAAATAAAGGTATAACATAACTTTAAAAATAACTATATTTATTGTTCTCAATTTTACTTTTAATGAATATGTGAGCCAAAAAAAGACCCCTTGTCTCAAAAATCAAATTTTGAGTTATTAGCCATTCCAAATTTTGCACTTAATTATGAACATTTTGAGACAACATTTTTTCTTTTATCTTAAAAATTGGCTGAGTTATATATGTTTGAATTTATTTTCGGAAAATAAGTTTTTTGAGGAAAAATGTTTTTAAGTTTTGAAATGTTGCCAATTTTTTATTTTATTTACTTAAGGAATAAAACTTTACCAAAAATTAAAATTAAGTGCCCTTAAGCAGATAACGTAAATTTTTTATCCTAAATATGTTTCCAACCTTGATCAATGTTTTGGCCTCTCCTGCAATTTGGTTTCTCGAGATAAGGGGTCCCTTTCTCTTTCCGTCTCTTATATAAAAAAATGGTTAAACATTGTGTGGATATTTGTGTTTATTTTTCATTTTTCAGTTATATCTATATCTTTGTTTGATTTCTGATGTTTTGAAACTGTTACAGGTTCCATCTTCAGAGATGTTTCTTACATCGCTGCTACTCTCTATTTAATTAATCACAGTAGTGACGAGGTAAACATCTCTGCCGATAGAACCTGAATGGTTTTAAAAGTTCTTTTTTTTTCTCTACCGTAGGTATAGTTTTTAGTTTTATAACAATTATTGTTACTATTATTATTGTTGTTTGATATTTCATTGTTTGATATGTAGTTGTTTAAATTATCACTGTTCTTATGATGTTATATAATCTTGCCCTCGAGGCGTTTAAATATATATAAAAAAAAGAAAATTACGAATAAAAAAAATTAAATGGATATCTTTTAAAAAAAAGGAATAAAGAATGCCGAATTAGAATGTCATACATTTATGAAAAAAATAATCAATACCGTATTAATAGATAATCAACCAACATAGATAATAAAATATCAATAATATGTTTTTGTTTACTTTTTGAAGATAAAAATGCTTAACGAACCTCGCCCAGGCAAAAAACTTTTGGTGCTCGACATAGACTATACGTTATTTGATCATCGATCGGTTGCAGAAAGTGGTTTAGAACTCATGAGACCATATTTACATCATTTTTTAAAGTCAGCTTATGAAGTAAGAGTATTAAATTATTTATTTACCAATATATATTTGAAGATTAATATTTGCATTTTATTGATTTTTTTTATCTAGAATTATGATATTGTAATATGGTCAGCAACAGATATGCGCTGGATTGAGCGAAAAATGAATATATTAAATGTATCTAATAATGCGGCATACAATATAATATTCTATTTAGATAATGCTGCTATGATTACTGTACACACCCCTAAATATGGAGTTGTTTCTGTAAGTTCAATTTAAATTATATTATACATTTTCTGTACATGTTATTATTTTTAATTTAAACTGTGTAATAATTACTATAATAATAATAATATTTATATTAATTTTTTTTAGTTTACTGTAACTTTTTAAAACTAGGTGAAGTAATTTGACTAACTATTTTGTAAAAATATTTAAATTGTGTATTTATTTATTAATACAGGTAAAACCATTAGGTGTGATATGGGGAAAATTTCCTAATTTGTACAACAAGGAAAATACTATAATGTTTGATGATATTCGTCGAAATTTCTTAATGAATCCAAAGAATGGTTTAAAGATTCGTCCATTTAGGGAAGCTCATTTAAATTGGGAAATGGATAAAGAGTTACTACATTTAGCTAAATATTTGGTGGAGATTGCCAAGCTTGATGATTTCACGAAACTTAACCACAGAAATTGGGAGAAATATATTAGAAAAGCACGTAAAAAAGAAAAAAGGCAAAAAAAAGAAAGATCTGATCAAAATGAACCTCATCCACCTGATACTCAGCCAAACTTGTGATTTAAATTTCAAAAAACAAAAAAAAATTACCAAGTATAATATTTAATGTATATTATCTAAATATATTTGTTTTTTAAGTGCACAAAGAACTAATTTGTACAGTTAATTTTTTTTTTTTAAGTATTAAAATAAATATCAATTACATTTTATACAGAATGTTTAAGTTTAGATTATGTATATTGGATAGTTATTCTAGGTTACTATATTTTACTTACAACATTTTATTACATTGACGATAGTTTCATTTTAAAAACTATTCACCATGTTTCATGTAAATTTTTTTGTGTTCATAATGTTTACTTTATATATTATTATAATTAAGTTGGAAATACTGAAATTTGCCTGAAAAAAAAAAGACAAGGAGTTTATTTCTCTCAGTTATAATCCTTAGTCCTTACTAATGTTTTTTTTAAATTTGTTTTTCTACATTTTTATATTTATTTTTCTTTTATCTTCTAATTTTAATTAAAGTATACATTCAATAATCCGACTTCTAAACAACTGTATAAATAAAAAGAGAAATGTATAACTATGTATGTTATATTGGCATTTGCTTTCCATATAATTTAATCCTATTAGTTTTTAATGAAACACAAAGTTCTCTCACTACACTTTCTTAAAATCTCCTCGTCTTTTCCTGTTCTATGGAAAAAAGGGATAAATGACTTGTAACCTGAAAATGTGTGACAATTTGTTGAGATTTTGTAGGAGCGGATTATTGGAAAATTATTAAGACGCGGTTACAGAGTTAACCATGTAAACACTTCTTTAGTATATTAGCATAAATTAATGAAACCTAATCTGTGATATTGGGGTCCATGTATCAATGTTAATTTTTTTTTCAATTATTAGGCTTCTCTGTATCTTTATACTTTGTACTTGGAGCCTAGAGATGTCTTAGATCTTGGCTTCCACTTTCACTCATTTAATAAAAAATTGAAAAATAGACAAGTTAAATAAATAATTATGTAAAAATTAAAAGATACACGTATATAATATTTATTGTGGGTATTTTTTTCTAGTTTGGGAATTGTTCTTGGGCGTGAGGGGGGCATTTGTCCATATAAATTTAGTAAAATATTTTTGTGATTACTGCTATCTACATAGATCACATTTTAAGGTATCGTCACTGACTATATGAAAATATAGTTTTTATTATATGGTATATTGTTTTCATAATAATATAGTCTGTGATATTGTAAAATACATATAAAATCGGGTGTTAGAAAACAAATTTGGGATCTCTTGAGTAAAAGTTTATATTTAAGGGGACTGCATGCGGTTGGTTTTTAAGGAGTTTTGTATAGGCAATATTTAAGAAAAAAGTGGTTTTAATAAATTTCGATCATGTCAATTAATTTACCGGTAAATTTGTTTAAGCTTCATGGTATTATTTTTAATTTAAATTATTTTGTCTATGAGTAAAAACCATTTGTTAATATAACATACATTTTTTGTTCCATCGCACAGGCTAAACCAGTGATTCGATAAGTAATCTGAAAACAGATTTGAATTTGTCATAAAGTTTACTTATGATCGGTCAGGGTACTTTTTTGATATCTTATTCCTACTATGTATAAAACACGTTTGAATATTATATAAAATTTCAGATTTTAAAATCAAATTTGGAAAGGGTTAAAATAAAAAATTGAAAAAAGTTCCCTGACCGATCATAAATTAAACGTCATGGCGAATTCAAATCTGTTTTTAGATTGCTTATCGGATCACTGGTTCGGCCTGTCCAATGGAATAAAAATGATGTGTTTTGACTGAAAAAACCGACCGCATGCAATCCCCTTAAGTAGATAATATATTGTTGAATCAGTTTTAAACTGTAGCACAAATTTGAAATTGATATTTGATCTGTTATTTAATCAGATTATCTGTCCGATCACTTTAATATAATATTTTGTTTACTGTTGTTATCATTTTATTAAACCAATAAATTATGGTCAAACAAATAGGTATGTCAGCAACTTGTGTTATCAATTTTTTAATATGGTATCTGGTTTTCTTCGTTAGAAATACACGGCCGCCTGAGAAAATCCGCAGCAATTTTGTGGTTATTAAAAGTTATTATCATACCTTTTTATTTTTTCATACGATAAACTAACCTAAGATCTAAGAAAATAACTGTCAACCTAGTTTTGTAAACACTGCATTTATCAAATATTGTTTAGTTTACACTTAACTGTTAACAGCTTTTCAAAAAAAAAGTATTAATTATTAAATATTTTAACCGTTAAAACTATATGAAGTCATATCTCTCATATTATAGTTTATGGTTAAAATTTAAAAATTTCAATGATTTCTTTATACAATTCCTGTTATGTATAGTGGTTTTATTTTAAATTGATTTTTATGTTGATTATTAAAAATGTCTGATCAATCCGAATTTGAAAGTGCTAATTTAAGTCCCGCAACATCTACACCTCAAAGTAGTCCAGAAAGTATTATGACACATTCACATTCATTTGTCAATTCACGAGTTCCGAAAAATGTAGATATTAATGTTTTATCCAATTATGATATGCCACAATGTTCCGTTTATGATGTGTCTTTAACAGACAGTGATCGTAGTACTCAAGAAGGTCCTAAAATATTGAATGCATCGTCACCATCAAGTATTTGCTCAGCTAGGCCTTTAGAATGGGATAGTGGTGCTGATGTGGGATATGACCTTACACCACAGACACAAAATCTAGTGATGAGTACTATAGAGCGAATTGCAGTTAATAATTTAGTATTTAACGCTAATTCAACACCTATTGATTTAAAAAATAAAAATGTAAAACAAAAAAGTGCTTCGCTTACCGATCTGGTTACGATAGAGTCATTTAAAGATAATAAATCAGTTTCATATGAAATGTTAAGTTCTATTACAACTAAATGTGACACGGTGCCGAAATCTAAACCACACATGACTTCTTGTCTATCTGTATCGACTGTAGTATATAAAACTGAATCTTTAAAAAGTGAAGAAATTAAACTAAACAACGATTTACACATAAATACAATAGCCAAAGAACAGAATGAGATGTTTAAAAAATTAAATATTACTTCTGATAAAGAATTGGAAAAAAGTAAAGATTCAAATAATTCTTTGGGCAGTGTAGGGTCTGCTGATTCGTGGGAAGCTAAACAATTTTGTGATTCTACAAATACTACAACAGATCGAGTAAATAGTTTTGAATACATACCAGGTGACGAATATTTTGAAAGTAGAGAAGATGTCAGACAAGATTCCTTGGATAACGAAAGTAGTACTCAGATGCTTATTGAAGCTATGAAACAAAATGGATTAACACAATTGCAAAGAAAAGAAATGTTCAAAGTAATAGATAGTTTTATAAAGAATTATAAGCTTAAAGATAATAGTTTACCAAAAAAAAGCACAACCGATTCAGATCATACAAACTTAAGACAAGATATCACATCTCAAACATCGTATACTGGCAATACAGTTGTAAATAATCAAACAAGTAAGAAATTAATTAAATTATATCTAATATTTATTCTATTCTGTGTAAATCATATTTAGATAACCATTCAAGTACAATAACATTTACATCACCGATCACTTCTTCACAATATGGTGATGAAATTGACTCTAAATGTTATGATACCTCAAAAGATTCTGAAACACATTTAAAATTACGGAAGTATAAATTTCAAAAAAAAAATATTCCAAATGTAAGTTTGAATTTATTGTATTGTTAAATTTAGATTATATTTCATTATTTTATTTTATATTAAATACTTTTTTCAACTTATCAAATAAAATTATTAATAACCCATAGTAATTTTTTTTTTTTTAATTATAATATACAGGAAATCCGGAGTATCTATTTTTAACATAATGTATTTCAACTATATATTGATAATAGAGTAGGAACTAGTTAGCACTACTATGATTGGATAATTTTGCTTTTACGACAAATATAATATCTCAAATATGATTGTACTTTTATTGTATTACTTACAATTCCTATAATGCATTTTCAGAAACAAACAAACCGAGGTGTGCAGTGTAATATTCAAGATTGTTCAACTAAATGTAATCAAAATGAAATTTCAAAACCTTCAACATCTAAATTTATCCCTATTATCAATAAACAAACTGAGCAGTTACCAAAATTACAAGCTAAAAATAAAGAAGAAAGTAAGTTAAAAATATTTAAATAGTGTATTTTCAAACACAGTACATAATATTTAAATGCTATATAGCCGTTGTTAGTTAATAGTTCATGAACTAAAATAAAAATCTATAATGTATGCAATTTTCATAAACAATAACTCGTTAATAAGTTATAAAAATATGCTAAAGCCTAAATATTATTTAATTTAATAATTAAAAAAAAAATGTAAAATTAACTTCATTTTAATTTAAACAAATTTCACCTGAAGTCTTTATTTTTCTATATTAAGTACAGTCTAGGCTGAGAGTTTACAGGTAATTATTAGGACAAGGATTTTGAATGAAACTCCAAAAGAACCTTATCTCGGTCATCTTTTTCTCTAAAAAAATGTTTACAAGTATAATTAAGTTTTAAGACGCACAAGATGTAATCATAATTTAATTTTATGACATCAAACCTAGAAATCTATGTAAATAGGCATTTACATCTGCATATTTTTGGTCGAAAACAACTCATTCTACTTCAAATGTACTGTTTCTAAGAATACTCCGATTTCATTTTTGAAAAAAAAACATTTGGACTCTTCATAACATTTTCAAGGCATCCACAGTGGCAAAATTTAAAAAAAATGTATTGTTAATTAACTATTTTAGTTTGAAGAAGTTAAAATATGCAGTTTTTTACATTAAAGTAATTAATTGTTAATGATTATTAATATTAGGAAATAAATACTTTTTTCTATTTGTTAATTTTTTTTTTTTTTTATTAGTTAAATCAAATTACAATAATCCAAGTAAAGAATTTAAGAAACAAATGATTTGGTTTCATAATAATTACATGAAAGTTGAACGAGAAAATCAAATGTTTTGGATAAACACTCAGATAACACACCTAAATAATTTGAAAAAGTAAATTTTGTTTACCCTTTTTCAATTACATAAATATTGTAATGTTCAATAATATAAAACAATACATTTTAGATTATTAAGTACACATGAAGAATTAAAAGAAAATTGGAAGAATTTTAAAGAAAAACCATCACTGGATAATAAACCTAAATACAAGTTAGTTTTTTCATAATAATATATGCATTAGTTTTAGTAAAAAATAATTTTATTAATAATAAAAAAAATTCTCTGCATCTGGTATTTAACTCAGGTTGTTTACCTAAAATAAATTTATATACACATAAATATAACCTTATATATGTCGTAATAATGTATATATGTATAGAAGACGAAGTGGTTTTGAAAAATTGAGTTCAAGCAGTACATCAACTCAAACGGATACAACTATATCAAAGCTATCAAGTATTTCAAATTGTGATATCACAGAAACTGAATCATCAACTACCATATGTGATCATTCCCATTATAAAAAAGGCATTTTGATTGATGATCCTAAATCATTGGTTAAATGTTATAAAAAAACTCTCAATCTAGTTAAAAAAAATGAAACGCCAAAAGATACTAAGCCATTGAAAATGTCATCTTCACAACAAACAGTACAATTTCAAACAGGAAAACTGAAAAGTATTCCAAAATCATCTTTACTTAGCTTTGGTACTTATACAGTGGATAAGAAAATAAAACCAAATACCCATAGTGGGCATAAAAACAAAAGTTCTATAACCTATGATATAATATTCAAACCTACAAAAACTAGTTCATCGGTATGTTTATTTTTTTTATAGTTTACAATGAACATACTCTTAATTTGTTGTTTAAATTATATTTTATATATTTATAGCATGACAGTGAATTAAGTTCTACATCTAATGAACAATTTAATGGCCAAAAAATTCCAAAGACATCAAAAACCGTTTCAAGTCAAACAAGTAATACACTATTTGTTCCAAAATCAAGTTTACAGGTAAAAAAAATAGAATATGAACTGTTCAAAAACACTTGACAAGTATAGCGAACCTTAAAAATATGTCACGTGATCACCCATGAATACTCTTTACAATCTCTGATGGATTTTTTATTTTCTATAAAAAATAGTCTATTAACTTTAATATATTTATTTTTTATCTTACCTTATTAAGAAGGCCCCTTTTAAGGATACCGACCATTTTTAAGGAGTTTTGTATAGGCAATATTTAAGAAAAAAGTGTTTTTAATAAATTTTGAAAATGTCAATTAATTTACCAGTTAATTTGTATAAGCTTCATGGTATATTTTTAATTTAAATCATTTTGTCCATCGCACAGGCTGAACCAGTGATCCTATAAGTAATCTGAAAACAGATTTGAATTTGCCATAAAGTTTACTTGAGATCGGTCAGCGTACTTTTTTGATATCTTATCCCTACTATGCATAAAACGCGTTTGACCATTTTATCAAATTTTAAATTTTAAATAAATTTTGGAAATGGTTAAAATTAAAAATTGGAAAAATACTCTGACCGATCTCAAGTAAACTTCATGACAAATTCATAACTGTGTTAAGGTTGCTTATTGGATCACTGGTTCGGCCTTTGCGATGGACAAAAAATTATGTGTTTTGGCTAAAAAATATGGTCGGTGTCCAGGGGTCTTAAGAAGAGAAGCATTTACAAATACCTATGTATTAATAGCTTTCTTAAAAAAAAAAATTGTATTAAAATCCGTTTGTTCCAAAATATTTTGAAGTTTATACAAAATTATAATTTAGTCAACAAAAAACAAAAATAAACTATAGATTTTATTAATTTACTATCAATAACTGTACTTGTAGGAATACTTACTAAGCAATCGGCCAGATTATGTTTACCGAGCACAAGAGCGACAAAATATTTTATCAGACCTTGCAAGTATGAGGGACCACCGTAAACAATTGAAAAGAGAATTATTGTTGACAAATAACAAAGAAAATACAGTTCCCCCAAATCCTTTAGGTATTTCTTTATTTATTATTTGATCATTTTTTTAGTATAGCTATTCATTCAGCAAACGTAATTTCTTACAGCTCTTAAACGCATAATGAGTCAAAAAGAAATGAGAAAGCAGACTGAACGTAAATACCGCAAGTGCCCTGAAGTAAAAAGCAAAAAACTGGAAGTTAAACGAAAACAGGAATATAATACTAATAAGATTATGGCAAATATATTTACTAAAGTAAAGCATTTCCATTCTCTAAATATCAATATAACAGTAAAAAATTAACCATACATTTATTTAATGTTTTCAGAAATTACAAAAAAAAACACTTAATGGAAATGTGGACTTATCTAATAGTGTAAGTGTATGTAGTTTATAATTTTAAAAATCCAAATACAAAAAAAGAGCTGTCAAGCTAGTTCAAAAGTTTAGGCTCCAAATTGATACTAGACTTCTATTTTATAATTTAAATTTTAAGGCAATAATAAGAATATTTTTTATAGTTTTTAAAATTTTGTTTTATAGATATTATTATTTTTTTATGAAAACATACTAAATAAATGACTACTTGATATTTTTAATTAGCTGTGGCATTTACTAACATATTATTAAGGTCTTATTTTTAAAGGGCGTAAGATGGAGTGGCCGAGTGGAGTAAGGTAACAGTTCCAATGCAGGCACAGTCGCCTTCAATCCCGGCCACGGGTGGCATCTCTCTTTGGACAGGCAACTGTCTAGGGAAAGATGCCCTACTAAAAACTTGGCAGAAACCTACGGGTGATCAGCCCATTCTGCCAAGCAGGCGTCCGAACTATGCCTTTGTGCCTACTCCCAGACATTTACGCCATACAAAAAAAAATATAAAAATAGTTTAACAAAAAAAAAAAATTGTTTATTAACAATACTGGAACTATTTTCTCAGCTCATACCAAAGCTAAACAATACAATTTATAGGAACAATAATTATTAAGTTTAGGATTACAATATTTTTATGAATATCTCATTCAAAACAAAAAATCATAAACATACAAATATTCTTAAAATCCTTGAGAAATTATTAAGTCATCACCGCTATTTTCTAAATTCAGCATGTGTTCGTTAGCTAGATGTAACAACGCTACAAATACTAATGCTACACTAAGTCCAGAACAAATGTTTTCTGGTAATTTCGTAGGAAGCTGTTGCAATATATCATTTAAATTAATTTTCGATACCATATTACCATCTGGTTTAATAGTTCCTAGTAAACATTCTTTAAGAGTGAGCATATCAATATTTCTAGGAACATAATCCTTAAAAAAAAAAATCTGAATTAATGACGGATACAATCAACAAAAGAGCAACCGAATTCAAACCCTTAATAGTCAAGAACATCATCGTATCTCAGGTAGTGTTGTCATCATTATACACACCTGGACTATGATTATGTTATGTCCTCCACCATTAACCGGATAAAAGCGGTTGCTTATCTGTTAATTTTAAAGTATAGTTACAATAATTTTGCTGAGGAAATTAATTTCTAATTTATCGTTTTTTAATGACTGTATATCATGAGAATTCAATACATTACTATCACTATCCTGAACATTATCATATATGTCATTTGCATCATAATAATTCAAACACTCTTTTCCTTGGTTCAACACAACAGTATCCTATACATAATTAGAATAGTTCTTACTATATTAAAATAGTTTACTTTATTTAATTTGTCAAAAAATGTTTTTTACAAACGCTTCTTTAGTATCTTGATTTGGATATAGATATAAAGAATTTTTTTCTTCGTAAATTTTTAAATCTGTAGACTCCAACCACTTTGGTTTCATATAAATAAATTCACAAAAATGTAACCTGTCAAAACAGATTTATAATAAAATTATGTGTCATCCATTCAATATTCTATGTCTTTTAAAAAATATTATTTACATTAAAACCTTATAACAGGACAAGTAGTTAATTTTATCGACGATGACAAATTTTTATTAGAATCCCATTGGTTAAAACAACATTGGTTAATTCCAGTAGCTATATCATTTATACTCTCTAACATATTTGACTTAAATATCTTATTATACTGAACAACAAAATCTTTTTTAGATTGTTTATTATCCGTCTTATCATTTAATTCAATATCATCGAGCAAACAGATACAATCTCTTTTTTGTTTACCTGTGTATTTCAAAATAAATTTACATTTATAATTAATCTAAATGTTTAAATTTATAAAGATTTAAGTTATTACTGGTCATTGTAAAATGATTAAACTTTTTTTTCCAATGTTCTTCAAATTTTAAATATTTTATTCGTCCAGGATCAAAAAAAGTATATTCGCTTATATTTGTTGTATTCACCATAGATAAAAGTTTAGACATAGTATCTTTTTTTTTACTACATTTAACTGAAAATAAATTATTGTGAAATGAGCATATTATATAATTTATAAGTAAATTTGAGTGTAGGTATAGCTTCAATACTATTATTTAGGTTTTCCATTTGTTTCTGTGGGTTTTCATCACATGCATTTCGATTTTGAGATGATGAAAATGTTTGAATTATTACTTCATCACAACTTATGTTATCGTCATCCATAAATTCCATCGTTTGGTTGTCATTAAGATCGTAAATACTTACTAAAATTAAAAAAACAGGCACATAATTCAAAAATACAACCACATTTAAAAATAACATGAACCTGTAATTGAGAAACATATCGTTAATACTTTGATTCAAGCGAAAAGTGTCTCGAACAAAAGTAATATCGATATTCTCCAAATTATTAGGATCGCCATATTCAATATTGTTGTCAAACTCAGCACTAAACTGGTGGAACTGTGGGCATATTTTTGCTTCTTTAAAAATATCTAAAACTTAGTAACTTAATACTTAGTCAGTTCTAACAAAAATAAATTATTATATTTTATGTGAGTATATACAACAATAGACGTTTTGATGTGAATAAATTTGTAAATTTGGTGCCCATAGGCGGAGATTTGATTAATTTTTTGGGGGGGCTATCTGTTTTCTTCCTAAAATAACCCACAAGGGCTTCACACCCCCTCATTATTACTTTGATGAGTAATCAAATAATTTGGGGGGCTAAGCCCCCAAGCACAAACTCCCCCCCCCCCAATTTCCGCCTATGTTGGTGCCATAAACAAAAACTTAAGTTAAGTACCAAACATGTAACATGGCACACAGCTGACAGGACGTGATCGAAACAAATCGATAGATCAGTTCTAGGTCTTAAATGTACTTAATCATAATTGCCTAAGATGCCTAAGGTTGCCTAAGGACATGGACGGCAAAAAGAATTTTTCTATATTTACATAATGTCTGAAACTACTTTTCTTTTTTTAATTTTTAGATGATTCCTTAAAAAGAACAGCAAGTCAATAAGTATTCTTGTAAATATTTGCAGTTGTAGTTCTGACTACAACCTTAATAGTGTTTTTTTTGTTCCTAACAATAAATTAATAGTGTTTTTTTTTGAGTCATTAAATTTTAAGCCCCCACGCTGTCGTTTCGGAAGGGAATGTTTCTTAATCATAACCTACACTTCCATGACCAGAAAGGTAGGTATAAGTTAAGTATAGTTAACCTAATAGCACTGGCAACTTCTAAATGATTTAAATTATATATTTGTTTAACACGTAAATTGCAGATCATATTTGAATATATGCTTATTACTATGCTAAATGACTTTAATTGGCGTTATTAAGGTTAATGCTAACATAATATTAAGTTCCGGTTTTTCTTTTTAAAAGCTACTTACAGGAAATATCTTCTATTGAATAAATACTATGTTTTGTTTTTTCATTTTTGTGTTCTGTCCAATACGGAAGATCATAAAACATATTATTTATTTGTTTACAAGCTCGTTCACCGAACATTATATCGTTATTGAGAAAGTTGTTTAAACAATTTGATTTAAAAAACGAAGGGTTTTCTTTATGACAATGCTTTTCTGCAGAGGTTAACATTAATCTTTTCTAAAAGTATAATCACAATTTTTATATTTTTTCACCTTAAAAATATTAGTTGGCATATTAAAAATGGCTACTAGATCAATTTTTGCCATATATTGCCTATCTTTAGCCCCTTAATAAATAGCGGTTTCTGTTCCCCTTAAGTAAGTTTCGGAAAACTCATAAACATCGAAACAATTCCAGTGAAATGTTTTTAAGATTGAATTACATGGTACTAACCGAAAACTTAAATCCTAACATTTTTCAAAAACAAAATTTTTTTTTTTTTCTACAGCCTAAACTAAAACTAGTTAAAATCATATAATTTGCTCAATGTTGAATTTTGTTTTTAAATTAATAAAATTATAAGTATTATTAGAAACTAGGACTATTATAATACTTCAAATTTACCAAAAAATCAGTACTTTTCAATTTCTTGATCAATTTTTGTACACAACTTATAAGTTCAATATCAAATGCATTTGACATAGTTATTTTCTGAAAATCATAAAAAACTTTTTTAAGGTAACCTCATGCTAATCCATAAATCAAGAACTTACATTATCAACAAATAGTTTATTATATATTTTTATTTTATTTTTTAACTCGTCTATGTTCAAACTTTCTAAATGTTCTTCATTTTCAATGCAGTTATATATTACAACTTCTTGATTTAGTACTTGATAAAACGGTATACAATTTAAATATTTTAAGTCATTCTGCAGAAATGTATTTCCTGGTACACGTACATGTGCCTTATTTATAAAAAAAAAAAGTTACAAATTATTAACCAATACTATTTAATTACTATACCAATTTGGAGTTTTAGCATGTCTAAATTTTATATTAAAAATTGTGTACATTTTTGTTTTGTTCTTGATTATGAAGGGGTAATTTTTAATTTTTGGCCCAAGAAAGTATCTTTCTGGTTCGATTTCCAGAAATAACGAAAATTCTGGACTTATAGTTCCGAAGATATATTTTAATTCTTGTTTAGGTGGCTGCGATTTCTCCACCATCCCCTAATTTAAAAATTCTTCTTCTTTAGTATTCAATCCTGAGATTGGTTTGTAGCAATTCTCCACTCTTCCCTGTTACTTGCCTTCCTCTTTGTCTTTTTATAAGAAATACACACTTGGTCCTCTATTATTTGTTGCATATACTCTATTCATGGTCTTTCCCTAGCATTTTTTCCTTCTACGCAGCCTTCTATAATTAATCCTAGCAACCCACCATGTCTCAATACATGTCCAATCCATTTATTTTTCCTTTTCTTGATACTATTCCAAACTGAATACTTTCAAAAAATAATATGATTTATACATTTTGTGTTTATTTTGACTATTTTAAACAGGTAGTAAAAGCATTTTTGATAACGGTTTGAAAAAACGTTTCTTTACACGAATGAAATTTCGGAAATTTCTTTACACGTTTTTACTCTCTTATTTTAAATTAAATAATGATGGTGATGATTTTGCCCATCTCTGATAATATATTAATTAATTGAAATTAATAATCATAATAGTTATTATTGTGTTATCAGCGGTTATAACTTATATGTACATCTTAAACAGTTTACAGTAAAATAGCTAAGTATATAAAATTATTGTAAATTCGTATTTTTAATATCAGAATAAGATTTAACAAAAATCAAAACTGTACAAAATACTAAACGCTTAATAATTTAAATATAATTATTAAATTATTATTTATTATATTATATTTATTTACTTCAAGTTCTAAATTACTTCAGAGAGTAACATTGTAACAATTTTACGATAAATAGTAAATACCTATAGAATATTACTTATTCACAGCTTTTTTTTTTGCTCTGAGGGGGGGGGGGTTGAACCCGACACCCCCCCTGTAAGTACGTCATTGACCACATGTGACATAGTATGTCAGACATACTATTTACTACATCCACATGGCACACTCTACATAGTAGAAACTATATGAAAATAGTTTTCATAATAATTCATATAGTTAGTGTAATAGTTGAAAGCGAAGTTGTTGGTTATAACTTTACTAATTACTACCAATGTACATTATTATTTATTCAGTAATTTATATTACCATTGGGCATTGGATTGTTATTTGTTTTGTATGGGCGTTCCCCTTCCGTGAATTAAAATCCAGTGAATCCAGCTGATAAGAATTTATGTAGACGTTCCGAGATAACGAAAATTTGAAATTTGAGTTACGATTATTATAATTAAATAACATCATGCAACATAATTTGTTACAGTTATAGTAGAGATTATAGAATCGACTTGCTGAGTTTTTTTTAATATTATTAATTATTAAAAATTATCATATGATTTGTTTCGTTTTGTATATGGTAAATTTTGTTTAGCTAGTTTTGGTTTTCTTTACCAAATTAATTAATTCTTATTTCTATGTGGTAGTGTTAAAATTAATAATACTTAAATATAATTTTGTTGCAAAACTAATAATTTTAACAATATTTTATTGTATAGTATTGAAATTTTATAATTTGTATTTATAATGGCATCTAAAATTGAATGTGTTCTCAAGCAATCGTTGATTACATTTTCTGGTTCTCATACATCTAAGACTTTTCATGATAATTTAATAAAGCTGAAACGATATGCTAATGAATTGGATGCAAATTCTATTACTTTAGACAACAGATTACTACGGTGTGATACTTATGAGCTAAACAGTAGTTTTGATAAGTTATCTGGAAGTGTTCTTATACGCCGTGTAAGGGCACCTGTTACTTACATAGAAGTATATGAAGACCAAAATGTATCCATTGGCATATTTGTGTTAAGAAATGGTGCTAAAATTCCACTACACGATCATCCATGTATGTATGGTGTTTTGAAAGTTATACATGGCAAGGTTAGGATACAAAGTTATACACCAAAAAAAAAGGATTACAGCCAATTAAAGTAATTATACAAAGAATGAAGTGAAAATGATTTCCAAAATTTAATTGGTGTTTACTTTTGTTTATAGTGAATGTATTATAAGTGCTGTTAAAATGGCACCAATTATAATTGGAGAATCTGATGAACCGTGTGTGTTGTGTCCAGTAGAAGGAAATATTCATCAAGTCGATACTGTAGATGGACCGGCTGCATTTGTCGATATATTAGCTCCACCCTATAGAACTGATATTCCAGATGTAGGTAAACGATACTGCAGGTATTTCAAAGAACTGAATATGTCCAAAGATATTAAACTAGAAGTTGTACCTGATCCTAAAGATTATTGGAGCGATACAGCTCCGTATACTGGACCACAATTCAATTTAAATATTGATGAAAACTCTTAATTTTTGTTTATTAAATATCGTAAGATATTTTATGTAGAATATTTGTCCACTACTAGTCAGCAGTGCCTTAATATGTTATTAAAATTTAATATACTGTTTTAGAGAAGTATGATAAATTATTTAACTCTGTATAAGATAATATGTACATATTTGTATATCCCTACATGTACAGAGTTTCCTATGAAGATAATTTAGAAATGGTTAAATATTGTAATATATTTAATACTAATTAAGGTTTTAAAATTCTGCTTTTTAAAAATAAATCATGCTCTTTTAAATAAAATAACTTTTTTATTTAAAATAAAAATAATATGTTTATAGTCAAAAAACTAATGAATTATTTATAATAACCAAATTAAAGATCTTTATTTTCTAGGGGATCTTACAATGGGTAGGTTTATCTTAGTGGGACATTTTGCAAGTATATTTTATTACTCTAATACTCGTTAAAAAAATATTTTATTTTTCTTAAAATCAGATCAATTTGTTGGTATAATTTGTTTGACAATACTTGTAATAAATTATGTATATTAATGTATGATAGATATAATTTTATAATAAAAATGTATTTAGAGGACGTCACAATAAAACCTGAATTACTATTTTATCTACATGATAATCAATGTTATTATTGTAATTTACTTTACAACAGAACAATAGTTTATTTTAAATTTAAAGTTTTGAAATGTTTATCCCAAATTGGTGATTTATTTTTTTTATTTACTGTTTTAATTGTTTAGTTACCTAATACAGTTTTTGAATTGTAAACATTGAAATATGTATAGAATGTTAATTTGAATGTAATTAACATTTATAAAGGTCGGCAGGGTGGGATAAAGCTACAGTGTAGTAACGCACAGTTCGAATCTTGGCCACTGATGGTTTCTTCCTTAAATAATAAATAATTTATTAACTTCAAATATACTTTGACAACTTTAAATAATTTTTTTTATGATATGTTGGATTTTATTTAAACTCCAGAAATTCGTTAAAATTAAAATTACTTTTTGGATATATTTTGTTGAATTAAAAATAAAATTTTATTTTTTAATTATGATTTTATTATAAAAGAATATAAAATTGTTTAAGAAATTATTTATATAATGTCTATGTTTGCTACTTAATTCAGGCTCTTGGTGGGTTTAACAAAATAAATTTTACTTAATAATAAAACACAAGACTATTTATTTTGAAATGAGTCTTTAAATTTAAATTGTTTGTTGATTAATAACATTTGTCAATAAAAATAGTTGACAACGAAAACATACATTTTGTCTTGCGACATGCATTTTAAATTGAGGGAAAGTCATGTGACCAACAGTTCCCCTCTTTCCTTAATTGGTTCTGTATATATAAAAAAAACTAAAAATTAATATTACTAATAATTATGTTATAATTAACCATGCTATACTTGGCACAATATATCACATATCGGCTACCGCGGGAAGACAGCTTATTTTCATAAACTTGGGAGTGGATAGCAAAAACTAATAGTCCATATTTATTTTTCTCCGACCACGATAAATAGAAAATCTATTCTTTATCTCTTTTCTATGCTCTTTATCGTGTCTCCGACGAGATATCCTTAACTTTTTTCTTCAAAAAACTGTCTGGGTGTATAGGAAACCTGTATAACGATGTATAAATAATTAAAGAATAAGTAATCAAATTCGAAATTTTGGATATTTTCCTCAAAAGGATAGTAAAATATATACAATGCCAAATGGTTGCGCATCGAGCTATGATAATGTGACCTTAGGCTTTAAAAGTTCTTATCAAATTTATGAAGTTACGTTTTAGCGCCATCTATGTTACTCATAAAACGTCCGTCTATCTCATAGCATAGATTAATATACTATATTATACATAGACCTTTTACTCTAAGTAAGAGTAAAAGGTCTATGATATTATATTATTAATTACTATTATATATACAATATAGTATATACAGTCTATGCTCATAGAGATAAATAAATAGGTATCGACAGATAGTCCTACAAAAAGTAGTTACAGTGCTGAGCACGACCTTAGAAGATATTAACTATTTTCTTCTAGGAGATAGGACGTGCTGCTGAGATAGAAACGTCGTCTCTATATTACTCTAAGGTCTATACATAGATATATAATATATATTTATATCGGTTACACCGCAAAACGTCGCCCGACAAAACGTCGCCGGACAAAAAATCGACAAAACGTCGCCGGATAAAAAATCGACAAAACGCCGCCGGACTAAACGCTGCCCGTAAAAAGACCGCCTCCCAGTAATGCCAACACTAACAATATGTGTATATAATATACGATTATTAATGGTGCTAGTTGTGCTGCCAGCATGACATATTATTAAGGAGTAAATAGTAATCATCCATCTCATTTGACCATATTAATTTTTAAATATTTATTATTATGGTTAAATGACATTTTATAATTGAATTTTGAAAGAAAGAGCTTTTTGAAAATTAATGTGTAGCAAAAAAAAAAAAAAAATAGAAAACACTGATCAAATACTTGTACCTCTTTTAATGTTTATTACAAATCAATGGTTATACAAATTTATAGTGACTTGGAAAATGAAACCAAAACTAATGCAATAAAATTAAACTTTTTTTCTTTTTTGGAGCCACACCACTTTTACAACGAACGAACCAATTTAGGTATACCAATATAAAAACAATCTGATGTATTTTTCATAGACAATTTTTAATTAAAATAAACTGAAGAACTAAATTAATCCGTGCTCGCGACTTCCATCAGACTTTGTTTATTAAGAAAAAAAATACTTAAAAGTATACAAAAAACGGCAGGTCTTATGTGAATAATAACAACTATTAAAGTCTTATAAATAAAGTCTTCATCTGTTGTCTTCGCAGAACCACAAAGAATATGGACCGAAAGGTTAATAACAATTAAACGACGGCTATTATATTCCAATTCTCCATTGAAAAAAGAATATACGTTGAGATGCAGTGGCGCTGAAATCGTTTTAAGACGAAAACATCACATCTAAGTCACGTGTGTTGTCCGAAACGTTAAAGGATGATCGAATTAACCCCTTAGATAATTCCCTTTAGGGATACTATAGTCCCCTAAAAAACAAAATATTTATAAAATTGAAAATTTATAATAAGAGCTAAAACAAATTACGATTATATTCCAAATGTTTACTTATTAATACTTATTTTGACTTAATCTACCACAAACCAGGCAAATTTTACTACACTCGATAAAAAAATGCAATCATTTAAATAAAAATCGCGTTTGATTTAATACAATCATCATTTGGTATTGGCCCTATACATTTTTTCATTACTATCAACAAGTTTTAATAAACTGACACATTATTTATACACTTGATAAAACATTTAACATGTTAATTAATATTACATACCTACACTTTATAGTAATATACCTACTACTAATTTGTTTGCAAATCACTAATGCAATCATGTGAGATATTCCATATACCGATTACCGAGTACAATTAAATAGTACCTAACCAGTTGTACTGTAAGTATAAATGGCACTACTATACAACATATAAATAAGCATAATACAGGGTGATCCAACTAACGTAAGACACTCATTTTCCCTGAAAATATAAATATTTTGAAAACAATTTTTTTCCTAAACCCTTAGGTACATATTTTACTACATTTTTTAATATTTTAAAACATTTTATCGCCAATCCTTATAAGCCAAAAAAGGGGATTTTTGGTTTTTTTAAATGGCAACATATGTTTTTAATTACATAAGTTTGTAGACAAAAAATTTAAAAATGTGTTAGCGTTAATTTTTTTTATTTTTATTAAACTGTTCATTAGTTATGACTATGTTAAGATACTACATTTCCTCTTAATAATAATCATATTTCTTCGGTTTGTCCAAAACCGGTAGCACATCAAATTCATATTTATGTTCGCATTGTCCAATTGGCGATAACATTCTAACAACTAGGAATTCACTATAAAATATTTTGAAATAGACAAAGGTTCTTATCTACAGATTACTTAGATTATAGGTTATTTATTATATCTGATTATGGTACAGAGTACGGTAACATGTCAAATTATTTGTACGCAATGTAATAAAACTACTCGTCTTTGTAGTAACGATTGAAAATAATATGAAATACAGTCAAAAACTCAAATCTTTATAAAGTCATAACAAATGAACAAATAAATGAAAATTCAAAACTCAAACGCTAACATAATTTTTAATTTTTTGTCTACTAACTTATGTAATTAAAAACATATGTTGCCATTAAAAAAAACAAAAATCCCCCATTTTGGCTTATAAGGATTCGTGATAAAAATTTTCAAAATATTGAAAAATGTAGTAAAATATGTACCTAAAAGTTTAGGAAAAAAATTGTTTTCAAAATATTTATATTTTCAGAGAAAATGAGTGTCTTACGTTAGTTGGATCACCCTGTATAAAAACTTCTATGAAACTTTTGTGTGTATATTTTTTTTAAATTGCTCAATTTTACTGCCTTACCTTATAAAACAAAAATACTACACTTTACTATTATTGTCTTTGTTGTTTATTTACACGAATAAATAGGTAGCAAAGATGAGTATCAGTGATCCCTGGATTCAGAGTGACGGACAATCTCAATAAAGACTTTAGCCTAGTTACACTTAGCCTAAGTAATAGCATCATATTTTGATTTACAAATCGATCAAGTAGTGCAGGTATGTGTATAAATAAACACGGTTACTATATTTAACCCTTTTTTTTAATGACTTAAGTGGTACACTCTGAACTTTGCAAAATATAACACCTAAATTATTCCATTTGAACGGCGCAATTTGTAGTGTTAATTACATATTCGAGATCATCTCGTCGATGATCTTTTCAATGGCAAAAACATATTGATAAATGAACCCCTTTCAGACAAGTTGGTTAATAGATGTAGTATTATACCTTGCCTGTCAAAGTGATTTTAAAACGCCTACAATAGAAAAGATAAAGGACAATATTACTTGTGAACAACTAGGCGTTGTTGTTATATTTCGGTGAGTATTGTGCAAACGATGAATCACCAACATTGTCCGATAGATTTTTTTTTCGCAAGCAATCCAAATGTGTGTTTAAAATATTGTCATAGCACGTCAAGTTTTTGAGAAAATAAATTTTTAAATCGACAAAAACCCCTAAAAACCCGCTATTTCAAAAATGAAAATTGTTCTCATCAAATTAAACCGCTATAAAAAAAAAAAACATGAGATAATAAACACCCCATAAAACTTATAGCATGGATCCTTGACGGCTTACAACCCTGAAGTTACTAAAAAAATAAATATAAAATAAAATACATTGACAAAAGTAAATATTTTTTGGTTTTTTGAGTTGAGCCTTCTGTCTATTAGCGTTATCCAGGAGACAACACATGGAGTTTGACTGATTAGTCTCCCAAAACATGTGTGTGCTTGTGTACACTGTTTATAAATGGTCAAAAAAATGTTTTTCAATTTTAATAATTTTTAAAAATAATTAAAATAGTGTCAAAATTTAATAGTTGCTGGTAAAAATTAAAATTAAACCGATTTCACATAGTCAAATCTGCTAATTTTTTTTGTTGATGTTTGATAATCTGCTCCCGTAAAAAATGGTTCTTTTTCCAATGTTTTTTTTACATGGTTTTGTTGCATTGCTTCGTATTTTTATGTAGGTATCTGACTGTATGCCCAGAAGAGTGCCAACAAGAATAAAAATATTCGGATGTCCTGGGTGAAACAATGCATTTAATTTTGCATGAAAACTTTCACAACTGTTAGTTGTCCGATTAGTGTTTGCTGACAAATCACACCAAATTTTTAAGGGGAAACTGTCCAACTTCATTGTCAATGTAATTATCTAAAATGTAATCTGTGAAACTGTCAATTCAAATCACATCACATGGTTCACCATCAAATCTTCCGTGAAACATTCAACTATGTCATTTTC